ATGGAATTTACAAGGCAACAGTGGCACAGGAAGTGATGAACTCTAAAAATAAGCAGAGTTTTATGAATAGTGGGCAGTGTATCACTACCACGATCTCACATTAAATATCTTCAAGCCGTGACACCCACCCCACCCCCATCTCTCTGTAACACTTAACTTAATTGAAAATATTAATTAAAAGGTTTTACATAAGTTGGACGACTTGTGCCCAATCCCTTTTGTATATTAGATACAAATGAAAATGTTTAAATAAAAATCAATCTATCGGCTAGCTCGTTCATTTTGCCCTGTGTATTGGTGTCAAGGGGATGACAATTTTGGCGATCTGATTATTTACCCCCACTTAGTACTATTTTTAGGTGGAAGGGGGACACTTTTGTCTAGATGATTCTTACATCGATTGATATTGGTTTTCAAAGGGGAAAGCATTAATTTAAAAAGGAAGAGTTTATGGGTGTTTTCCTTAAATAATTTATTTCTATGGTAAGGGGAGGCTACTCCTATTGTGGCAGTATGCCTGTACTAATTGACAACAGAGAACAATGTATATACTTATAACAGGATTGTTTTATTCATTTGATGAATACATTTCAACACAAAGTCAATAAACAAGATAAGAATGGAATGTCAGATCAGTCAATGTAAATAAACTACAATTCACAGGCACTAATATCTGTGTGTAATTAAAACAGAAATTCTTGTAAAAGATAGATCTACTCCTTTAGTTAAGACTAATATATGGGAAAATTAAAACATGAATTCCTGTAAAAGATGGATTCATTTCTTCAGTTAAGACTAATATATGGGAAAATGAAAGCAGGAATTCCTGTAAAAGATAGATCTACTCCTTTAGTTAAGACAAATATATGGGAAAATTAAAACATGAATTCCTGTAAAAGATGGATTCATTTCTTCAGTTAAGACAAATATATGGGAAAATGAAAGCAGGAATTCCTGTAAAAGATAGATCTACTCCTTTAGTTAAGTCAAATATATGGGAAAATTAAAAAATAAATTCCTGTAAAAGATGGATTCATTTCTTCAGTTAAGACAAATATATGGGAAAATGAAATCAGGAATTCCTGTAAAAGATAGATCTACTCCTTTAGTTAAGTCAAATATATGGGAAAATTAAAACGTAAATTCCTGTAAAAGATGGATTCATTTCTTCAGTTAAGTCTAATATATGGGAAAATGAAAGCAGGAATTCCTGTAAAAGATAGATCTATTCCTTTAGTTAAGACTTATATATGAGAAGTATAAATACTAGAGATAAATACTAGAGATAAATACTAGAGATAAATAACTACATATATACTAGTTTAATGGCTACATATATATATATAAAAAAAAATACTTTTCCCTAATGATTTTTCCAGGTTATATTGTAAAACCTACAAAAGAATTACAACACTAAAACTGATGACAACCTACACATATGTTTGGGGGTGAGAAATAACAGACCAATGTTGTGTTTGTGCAAAAGTATTTTTGTTTTCATCCGAAATCAATCAATAATAATTAACTATGCACTCCAATGTGTTGTCCCCTTGAAATTCAATTAGAGGGAACTACCATGATCATTTTGGGGAATATGTTCTATAAACCACAAAATATCTGTGCACTTTGCCTAAATCTTTAAAGTAGTTTACACACATTTTTTCAATGTTCATGACAGTATGAACACAATTCTAGTACATACATATTCACCATGAAGCCCACAAATGCTGTTCAATACATACAATGTATATCTAAATTCTAAATTTTGGAGTTATTATTTATCTAATCATAGGTGTTCCCTAATATTTTTGATGATGAAGTGTTTGTGTCATCAGTGCAAATCACCAAAATGTTTGTTTCTAACAGTTGTCTCATGTTGTTTGAGATGGGAGAAGCTTCAAAATGATACTGATCAAATTATGTGCAGTGGAAATTTAAATTTAAATATTTACATGTATATAAATATATAAACTTGATCATCATCAACCATGAGATATTGGTGTGGCAAGAAGTTACATGTGATAAACTCTTGTTTCACAATTCAAACACAAAATAGTAATAAAACAATAACAGACGAAAATCTGATTAATTCTGAGGAAAATATCTGTCTATTATTTAGGTCGCAGAATTTTTGTGATCCTCAGCTCCCCTATAACACAGCTGTATCACAGTATATCACCATAACATAATTAATTATTACACATTTTAATATTGCACAGAAAGTATCATTCTCAAAATAAAATTGAGAAAAAAATTATACAATAATTAATATATACATGAAATAAAATCAAAATAATGTTTCTGTGTTACAATTAATACCATTAAAATAAATCGCAAAAAAGGTGCAGAATAAATGTAATTATACCTCTGTTAGTTACACCGAAACTAAGTCTTCTACAACTGAAATGAGGCTTCTAATAAAAAGTCTTCCACTGAAATAAGACTTCATAAAATAATTTTCTTTTTTACTTAAATAAGCACATATACAGTCTATCACATTGACTAAACGAATCTTCCCCCACTGTGAGTGTATGACAGGAAAATCTCAATCCTAGGGGTGATATTCTTAATTGTCTAAACCGAGGCTTGCGTCAAGCTGAGACTCTGACATTCAAGAATCTCACCCAAAGCATGGACATTTTTCTGACATACCCTCATGGTAGGGATGATTCTTTTTTTCAAATCCTGTTATTAATATGCAAAACTGGTGGCATTTGTAATCCCTTTTTTACCCTAATTTGAAGATCACTCCTGATGGAAGCTGATTGAGACATCATATTTTAATGTTCCCAGGGGTCGACACTAACACTAGTCCGCTAGTCCTGGACTAGTAGATTTCAGCAAGGACTAGTGAATCACCTAATTACCTAATTGGTCCTTTGGACTTGTGAAAAATATGATTATAAAATAAGGATATTTCTTTTTAAAACATTAGAAAACAGCTTAAAATAAGAAATATTGCATAATAATTGTCAAAAGTTTCCTAAAACTTCACCATATTTTTATTGCAGTAATTATTTCAAGTCCCCTACAGTCGATTACTTTTGATGTTTTGTACTGTAGATCGCGACGTTTCCTTATCAGAAAAAAATTGACAATTTACATTGACGAAGGACTAGTAAATAATCTATTCAACTTCGACTACCAAACAAAAAAAGTTAGTGTCTAACCCTGGTTCCCATGATGTCATAGTACATGTATTGTTATGTTCTATGACTATGGGCTAACTGTCATACCCTTTGGGATCACAGAAAACTCTTAACACGGGTAAAACGGGGGGTATTTCTGTAAATGATGGGAGAAACATTGCGAGTATCACAGCCTAGCAAGTCTATGAATTTGTTAACATTCATTTTGAAACACATATCTACTATATATTTAGCCTACAATCTTGCTTTAATTTACTTTTAAGCAATCACCTATCAGGTATTTAGTATTTAAACTTTTAAGCATTTACGCTTTATAATTTTAATGATTTGCTTTAAAAACACAAATTTACCAGATGTTTAGTTAACAAACTCATTCTAATTCCCTTTAATGTAAAGCTGACTATTTATCTCAATTTAGTAAATAAAACAAATCTATTGAAGATATTCAGTTTGTAAAGCAGATCTATTGTCATGCGTAAAATATTGTATTCTATTCCTACTAAAAAAAACATCTTCATTAAACACTGATCTATGAAACTTTGTTAATCTCATCTCATAAAAAATAATTTAAAATCAGAATGATCAATTATGCAAAGCAAAAATTGCATAGATACTTAAAAAAATAAATGAGCTAAGGGAAGCAACTCTTATTTCAACTGAACTATTTACATTTACATAAAATGATGTGCATATTTTCACCCTTTAAACATGTTTCTATATATGAATCATCAAGGAAATCAACTTCTTTGAAGTTAAGTTTACACATTGAGAAAACTATCCAAAGTGTTGTCGATTACAGTAAAACCGTGCTCTATAGTGCATTTTGTTTCATTTGCCACTTTGTTGACCGCCAACATATTTTAATTTCCTCTTTACATTATCTCAATTTTTCGCTCAACTCCTTTATAACGCCAAACTTTCTCTGGACAAATGGTGGCATTATAACAAGGTATTACTGTACCATCTGTATGATTCAGATTTTAAATCTGACAAATATTGATCCAAGAGTTGGTCTCTTTTTCCTGAAAAAATAGCAGAGTGCAAGTGTTCTTTATCATCTGATGTAATACGTTACATACATTTACATGAGTAAGATAACACATTGTATAGGAGTATAAATGATAAGAACAGCAGCACAGGGGCATGGCACAGATTCCAAAACAGATTCCAAAATTCTTATGATACATTATACACATACATACGGAACATGGGATTCACAATACACATATTATATACGGAATTTGAGGTTTGGAATATGTGCCATGCCCCTTTTGACAACAGAATAATGATAATAAAACACAGTCTTGCCCCATACTGCAATACAAATTCTGGAAGAACAGTGACGCTCTGACTCTGTAACAAACACACGAGACCTTATACATATTAATTTCTTGAAGCACCAACATACAGATTCTACATGAATCTTACCCCTCATTCTGACAATTGCTAACGGCCTATTGTTGTATTACCATGAATACACGTGTTCTAACCTTATGCCTATTTCATTTACTTCATTCACACACTTTTCTGTTTCCCTCCAGACATCTGTGAGTTCCTCCTTGTGTCTGTGAGTTCCCCCTTGTATCTGTGAGGTCCCACTTGTATCTGTGAGTTCCCCTTGTGTCTGTGAGTTCCCCCTTGTGTCTGTGAGTTCCGCCTTGGGTCTGTGAGCTCCCCCTTGTGTCTGTGAGTTCCCCCTTGTGTCTGTGAGGTCCCACTTGTATCTGTGAGTTCCCCTTGTATCTGTGAGTTCTCCCTTGTGTCTGTGAGTTCCCCCTTGTGTCTGTGGGTTCTCCCTTGCGTCTGTGGGTTCTCCCTTGTGTCTCTGAGTTCCCCCTTGTTTCTGTGATTTCACCCTTGTGTCTGTGAGGTCCCACTTGTGTCTGTGAGGTCCCCCTTGTCTGTGAGTTCCCCTTGTGTCTGTGAGTTCCCCCTTGTGTCTGTGAGTTCCCCCTTGTCTGTGAGTTCCCCCTTGTCTGTGAGTTCCCCCTTGTGTCTGTGAGTTCCCCCTTGTGTCTCTGAGTTCCCCCTTGTCTGTGAGTTCCCCCTTGTGTCTGTGCGTTCCCCCTTGTGTCTGTGACTTCCCCCTTGTGTCTGTGAGTTCCCCCTTGTCTGTGAGATCCCCCTTGTCTGTGAGTTCCCCCTTGTGTCTGTGAGTTCCTCCTTGTATCTGTGAGTTCCCCCTTGTGTCTGTGAGTTCCCCCTCGTGTCTGTGAGTTCCTCCTGGTGTCTGTGAGTTCCCCCTTGTGTCTGTGAGTTACCCCTTGTGTCTGTGAGTTCTCCCTTGTGTCTGTGAGTTCTCCCTCGTGTCTGTGAGTTCCCCCTGGTGTCTGTGAGTTCCCCCTTGTGTCTGTGAGTTACCCCTTGTGTCTGTGAGTTCTCCCTTGTGTCTGTGAGGTCCCCCTTGTGTCTGTGAGTTCCCCCTTGTGTCTGTGGGTTCTCCCTTGTGTCTGTGAGTTCTCCCTTGTGTCTGTGAGGTCCCCCTTGTGTCTGTGAGTTCCCCCTTGTCTGTGGGTTCCCCCTTGTGTCTGTGAGTTCCCCCTTGTATCTGTGAGTTCCCCCTCGTGTCTGTGAGTTCCTCCTGGTGTCTGTGAGTTCCCCCTTGTGTCTGTGAGTTACCCCTTGTGTCTGTGAGTTCTCCCTTGTGTCTGTGAGGTCCCCCTTGTGTCTGTGAGTTCCCCCTTGTCTGTGAGTTCTCCCTTGTGTCTGTGAGTTCCCCCTTGTGTCTGTGAGTTCCCCCTCGTATCTGTGAGTTCCCCCTTGCATCTGTGAGTTCCCCCTTGTGTCTGTGAGTTCCCCCTTGTATCTGTGAGTTCCCCCTTGCATCTGTGAGTTCCCCCTTGTGTCTGTGAGTTCTCCCTTGTGTCTGTGAGTTCTCCCTTGTGTCTGTGAGTTCTCCCTTGTGTCTGTGAGTTCCCCCTTGTGTCTGTGAGTTCCTCCTTGTATCTGTGAGTTCCCCCTTGTATCTGTGAGGTCCCACTTGTGTCTGTGAGTTATCCCTTGTGTCTGTGAGTTCCCCCTTGTGTCTGTGAGTTCCCCCTTGTATCTGTGAGGTCCCACTTGTATCTGTGAGTTCCCCCTTGTGTCTGTGAGTTCTCCCTTGTGTCTGTGAGTTCCGCCTTGTGTCTGTGAGCTCCCCCTTGTGTCTGTGAGTTCCCCCTTGTGTCTGTGAATTCCCCCTTGTGTCTGTGAGTTCCCCCTTGTGTCTGTGAGTTTCCCCTTGTGTCTGTGAGTTCCTCCTTGTGTCTGTGAGTTCACCCTTGTGTCTGTGAGTTCCCCCTTGTATCTGTGAGTTCCCCCTTGTGTCTGTGAGTTCCCCCTTGTATCTGTGAGTTCCTCCCTGTGTCTGTGAGTTCCCCCTTGTGTCTGTGAGTTCTCCCTTGTGTCTGTGAGTTCCCTCTTGTGTCTGTGAGTTCCTTCTTGTGTCTGTGAGTTACCCCTTGTGTCTGTGAGTTCTCCCTTGTGTCTGTGAGTTCTCCCTTGTGTCTGTGAGTTCCCCCTTGTATCTGTGAGTTCCGCCTTGTGTCTGTGAGTTCCCCCTCGTATCCCCATCTCCTGTGTTATTTAATGAAAGACTTGTTAGTGTCCAGTATTCTACCTGGGTTGTAAGTTAATCAGGTCATTAGGATTCATCTTTTTTTTCTTTTGAGTCTATGGGTTCTCAATAAGGCCGAATACAAGAATAGGTGTGTTTCCTGTAACACAGCTAACCCTACAGAATCATGCCAAGCAGAAAAAAATTCTAATTACAGTAATGTTGGTCCAATACAGGTTTCAATGTTGTTAACACATGATCAACTGTTAATTTGTCATTAGCTTTCCATCCATTGAGGTATTATAGAGTTTGAATCAAAATTTTTTCCTCCCATTACATCCACTATATTATTAATCCATGCCTTAACCCTTTCACCACTGTAGACCATAATGGACTTATCAAGATCAATGCATGGCAGAGTTTATTAAAGTTACATAGGGTTGAAAGGGTTAACCAAAAACCTTATAGTTATACATGTAGCATTGTACAGGACACACACTTTTTTATTAGCCTAAATAACGCCTTAGAAGCCCAGTGTAGCCGATGTGCCACTGTTTCACCGCTGATATTACATTGGTTTCCATTGGATAGTTGGCTCCTCTGGTTCTCAGCTGAGGCCCCGACTTGTCAAAGCAGAACTGCCAGTCCACTCAGTTGATGAGCCCATTTGGTTCTACCCTCGCCTCAGTGTAGTCCAGGGGGGAGGCCTGGTTCATCACCTCACTGTTCAACAGTGGCTGATTTGCGAGAGTATCAAAGTCCCTCACACCATAGTACTTGAACTGACACAGCAGCTGGTCATCAGTTAAAGAAATGTTCACTTTTATATAAGTATCTTAATCTGAATAACGTTATACATGAAAAGGTTGATTTCTGAAACTTAAATAATTTGTTTGAATCTCACAAAGTAGTGATTTCTTTCTGATTCAGCGTGTGCCAAGTGTATACTTAGTGTAATTTAGTTGCTGATTATTCAATAATTGCAATTCAATATGGCCAGGAGGAGAATAATGTGATTGTGATAAGTTTTCACCGTTTATAGCTTGGTTCCTGGCTTAAAGGTTACTGCTGACTTGGTTCAGGTATCTTTGGGTGTAAAGAATTTTTATCAAATTAAAGAGGAGGAACTAGAAAGTATCAGCATCTTAGAGTAGGTTTTACAATGTAAACAGATGACATCATTAATGCAACAAAGGTCAAATTTCTGAATATTGCTTTAAAAATATATCTTACCAGGATTACGTACAGGGCTCTTACATGGGATTTAAGATCACTGCTTCTCATGAAACCTGGACCAACAGGTAAAAAGGATACCGACAAATCAAGGAAGATAACTCCCAGACTGCCGATTAGCCAGGGAAGGTGGTGCAGGACAAACTCTCCGTCCAGTGACCGCACCAGGATGGACAAACCATACGTGATGTTCCCCAGTACAGCCAGAATAAACATCATTACTGACAGACCCTCGGTCGACTTCCTCTTGTACTGAAACAGCCAGAATAAACATCATTACTGACAGACCCTCGGTCGACTTCCTCTTGTACTGAAACAGCCAGAATAAACATCATTACTGACAGACCCTCAGTCGACTTCCTCTTGTACTGAAACAGCCAGAATAAACATCATTACTGACAGACCCTCAGTCGACTTCCTCTTGTACTGAAACAGCCAGAATAAACATCATTACTGACAGACCCTCAGTCGACTTCCTCTTGTACTGAAACAGCCAGAATAAACATCATTACTGACAGACCCTCAGTCGACTTCCTCTTGTACTGAAACAGCCAGAATAAACATCATTACTGACAGACCCTCAGTCGACTTCCTCTTGTACTGAAACAGCCAGAATAAACATCATTACTGACAGACCCTCAGTCGACTTCCTCTTGTACTGAAACAGCCAGAATAAACATCATTACTGACAGACCCTCAGTCGACTTCCTCTTGTACTGAAACAGCCAGAATAAACATCATTACTGACAGACCCTCAGTCGACTTCCTCTTGTACTGAAACAGCCAGAATAAACATCATTACTGACAGACCCTCAGTCGACTTCCTCTTGTACTGAAACAGCCAGAATAAACATCATTACTGACAGACCCTCAGTCGACTTCCTCTTGTACTGAAACAGCCAGAATAAACATCATTACTGACAGACCCTCAGTCGACTTCCTCTTGTACTGAAACAGCCAGAATAAACATCATTACTGACAGACCCTCAGTCGACTTCCTCTTGTACTGAAACAGCCAGAATAAACATCATTACTGACAGACCCTCAGTCGACTTCCTCTTGTACTGAAACAGCCAGAATAAACATCATTACTGACAGACCCTCAGTCGACTTCCTCTTGTACTGAAACAGCCAGAATAAACATCATTACTGACAGACCCTCAGTCGACTTCCTCTTGTACTGAAACAGCCAGAATAAACATCATTACTGACAGACCCTCAGTCGACTTCCTCTTGTACTGAAACAGCCAGAATAAACATCATTACTGACAGACCCTCAGTCGACTTCCTCTTGTACTGAAACAGCCAGAATAAACATCATTACTGACAGACCCTCAGTCGACTTCCTCTTGTACTGAAACAGCCAGAATAAACATCATTACTGACAGACCCTCAGTCGACTTCCTCTTGTACTGAAACAGCCAGAATAAACATCATTACTGACAGACCCTCAGTCGACTTCCTCTTGTACTGAAACAGCCAGAATAAACATCATTACTGACAGACCCTCAGTCGACTTCCTCTTGTACTGAAACAGCCAGAATAAACATCATTACTGACAGACCCTCAGTCGACTTCCTCTTGTACTGAAACAGCCAGAATAAACATCATTACTGACAGACCCTCAGTCGACTTCCTCTTGTACTGAAACAGCCAGAATAAACATCATTACTGACAGACCCTCAGTCGACTTCCTCTTGTACTGAAACAGCCAGAATAAACATCATTACTGACAGACCCTCAGTCGACTTCCTCTTGTACTGAAACAGCCAGAATAAACATCATTACTGACAGACCCTCAGTCGACTTCCTCTTGTACTGAAACAGCCAGAATAAACATCATTACTGACAGACCCTCAGTCGACTTCCTCTTGTACTGAAACAGCCAGAATAAACATCATTACTGACAGACCCTCAGTCGACTTCCTCTTGTACTGAAACAGCCAGAATAAACATCATTACTGACAGACCCTCAGTCGACTTCCTCTTGTACTGAAACAGCCAGAATAAACATCATTACTGACAGACCCTCAGTCGACTTCCTCTTGTACTGAAACAGCCAGAATAAACATCATTACTGACAGACCCTCAGTCGACTTCCTCTTGTACTGAAACAGCCAGAATAAACATCATTACTGACAGACCCTCAGTCGACTTCCTCTTGTACTGAAACAGCCAGAATAAACATCATTACTGACAGACCCTCAGTCGACTTCCTATTGTACTGAAACAGCCAGAATAAACATCATTACTGACAGACCCTCGGTCGACTTCCTCTTGTACTGAAACACACCAGACAGTGAGGTAATAGAAATGCCCCATTGTCTGTTTGTCTGACTCACTTGTGGCACAACCTCAGCCATATGTACATGTGTATTGTAAATCATTTGATTTTTGCATTAATTTGGAAGGAGATTCATTCCCAAATTTAAATTTTCAAGATTTAATTTCATAGCTAGTTTTCATCAACATTGAAATAGCATCTTCTCAACCAGTTCTGGAATAAAGTATTTCACCAGTATTACATTGATTTATTATGCTGTAAGAAATTATGTATGAAACCTTGAAGGCAACATCATATTTTCAGCAGCCAGTTGAAAATAAAAATAGTTCTCCCGATGCCCTCGTTTTTTGTCAGCTGAGAGATTTGTTCTCATACTCACATTTTTGTACAGCTGTGAAAGGCGAGACCCAATGTAGAATATACTTGATACTATTCCAATGGCATAGCCAGACTCGTCTCTTATGTTCTAAAATAACACAAAATCATTGATCAATTGAATTTACATTGAAGGTAACTTTTAATCTTAAAACATTTTAATGAAGTATAAAACATACCTATATAATACAAGAGGCCCTTTGGACCTGTACCACTAAATACCTAATATGTTATTGAATGGGTGATGTAAAAGAAATCTCAAATCTGGGCCTATTAAATATATCTGGGCCTATTAAATATATCAATATGATTTGCATGCATTTAAACAACCAACCTAACACTTCTGGCCAGGCGTAATTGTCTGTTATCCCAACAAGCTACACACCAATGATCACTACTCTCGGACTTATGGACTTTAAGCATCCCTGTCCCATTGCACTGGAGTGTTTCGTATTTACAGTAACCTCCCTTTAATCAATGTTGTATAACTGTAGCACGGCTGGGCCAGGTCACTTCCCTTGACCTGGTAGATCAGTCAGTTAGAGACATAAAACAACAATCTGAAGTCCAGGGTTCAAATACCATGTCCTTATAAATTTGTATACTCAGAATGCAGCTGTTGATTATATTTTGTTTATCTTATCTTTATTTCATTTCATAAAAGTCCCACAAGGTATAGTTTTCTTTTCAGTACTGATTGATCAAAGCTCAAGTTTTTCCGAAACCCCCCAGTTTCCAAAGCATTGTTACAGTGTTGCCAGTGGTATGGGGATCTTTAAGAAGTAGATTTTTTGATGTATTTAATATAGAAAAACTGTTAAATTGGTAAGAAGACAACCACCAATATATATTTTATGATCATGCCAGTAACTCTAGAAATGAGAAGTTGATTTTGTGTCCTTGACATAGAAGTTTATTTATGCAAAGGTTACATGCCTCTTCTTAGGAGTGAGCTTAACCCTTTCACCCCTATGTAACTTCAGTAGACTCGTCCATGCATTGATATGGATGAGTCCATTACGGTCTACAGTAGTGAAAGGGTTAAGTTAAACCACTTTCTCTTATATGTCTTGCATAGACTGGTCTTGTATCATGTGTTTCGACTAGCCACACTTCCAGGTTGTCTGATGATCTTGTACTTACTTTGAAGAACTGGACATGTGTAAGATTGGCTGACAAGAGTTGTCTACTGCCAGGCCTTGGTATATGTACAGTACCCCTGGGGATGTCTGGTACCCCACTAAACCTGGACATCAGGGTTCCTACAGAGCTGACGGAGAGGAAAGCACCGGTAAAACACAGCACTATCCGGGCGGGGCCGCTAGGCTGGGCTTCCTTGTCCACTGGAGATAAAATATTACAGGTAAGGAACAGGGCTGTTATTTAAATTAACATTTCTTGTTTCACATTACAATGCTCATCAATACAAGATGGTGGGAGATATACAGGTTCCAAAATGAGTGATGGTTGGTTATCATGTTTATCTAACTTAGTTAATTTTAAATTTGTATAAAGACAAGGTTACAAGTGTCTTTTACAATTTTAAAATGAACTTACAAGAGTTTGATACACATGATAACCAACCATCATGAGATTGGGGACCTGTTTCTCCCATAAGTTTTGATATTATATCTAGAAAACCATGTGTTTCTCCTGGGAATTCATTATTGCTGTTTCTGATCAGGGAAACCATTGCCATGAACTATATGACATCACAGTGAACTATGACATCACAGTGAACTATGACATCACAGTGAACTATGACATCACAGTGAAAGGTGGTGTTGCAAAGCATTGTTACCTGATGTCATCAATAGGAGATTGACCAATTAAACGTCCAGGGTGTTACCCACTAGAAGATAACTATAAATGTTCATAACTCCTAGCAAGTTTACCCAACGAGTCGAGGGTGAGGATACCTATAGTGGTTGCGGGAGAAATACACTTCTGTTGTATTGAGCATGGACATAGATTATCAGATAACAAACAAGAACTGGTTATAACCAGGACATAGATTATCAGATAACAAACAAGAACCGGTTATAACCAGGACATAGATTATCAGATAACAACCGGTAATGACCAGGACATAGATTATCAGATAACAACCGGTTATAACCAGGATATAGATTATCAGATAACAAACAACAACCGGTTATAACCAGGACATAGATTATCAGATAACAAACAAGAACTGGTTATAACCAGGACATAGATTATCAGATAACAGACAAGAACCGGTTATAACCAGGACATAGATTATCAGATAACAGCCGGTAATGACCAGGACATAGATTATCAGATAACAACCGGTTATAACCAGGAAATAGATTATCATATAACAAACAAGAACCGGTTATAACCAGGAAATAGATTATCATATAACAAACAAGAACCGGTTATAACCAGGATATAGATTATCAGATAACAAACAAGAACAGGTTATAACCAGGACATAGACTATCAGATAACAAACAAGAACCAGATATAACCAGGACATAGACTGTCAAATAACAAACAAGAACCGGTTATAACCAGGAAATAGATTATCAGATAACAAACAAGAACCGGTTATAACCAGGAAATAGATTATCAGATACCAAACAAGAACCGGTTATAACCTGGACATAGATTATCAGATAACACACAAGACCTGGTTATAACCAGGACATAGATTATCAGATACCAAACAAGAACCGGTTATAACCAGGGCATAGATTATCAGATAACAAACCAGAACCGGTTATAACCTGGACATAGATTATCAGATAACAAACAAGAACTGGTTATAACCAGGACATAGATTATCAAGAACCGGTTATAACCAGGGCATAGATTATCAGATAACAAACAAGAACTGGTTATAACCAGGACATAGATTATCAAGAACCGGTTATAACCAGGACATAGACTGTCAGATAACAAACAAGTACAGGTTATAACCAGGACATAGACTATCAGATAACACACAAGAACCGGTTATAACCAGGACATAGACTATCAGATAACAAACAAGAACAGGTTATAACCAGGACATAGATTATCAGATAACAAACAAGAACCGGTTATAACCAGGACATAGATTATCAGATAACAAACAAGAACCGGTTATAACCAGGACATAGATTATCAGATAACAAACAAGAACCGGTTATAACCAGGACATAGATTATCAGATAACAAACAAGAACCGGTTATAACCAGGACATAGATTATCAGATAACAAACAAGAACCGGTTATAACCAGGACATAGATTATCAGATAACAAACAAGAACCGGTTATAACCAGGACATAGATTATCAGATAACAAACAAGAACCGGTTATAACCAGGACATAGATTATCAGATAACAAACAAGAACCGGTTATAACCAGGACATAGATTATCAGATAACAAACAAGAACCGGTTATAACCAGGACATAGATTATCAGATAACAAACAAGAACCGGTTATAACCAGGACATAGATTATCAGATAACAAACAAGAACCGGTTATAACCAGGACATAGATTATCAGATAACAAACAAGAACCGGTTATAACCAGGACATAGATTATCAGATAACAAACAAGAACCGGTTATAACCAGGACATAGATTATCAGATAACAAACAAGAACCGGTTATAACCAGGACATAGATTATCAGATAACAAACAAGAACCGGTTATAACCAGGACATAGATTATCAGATAACAAACAAGAACCGGTTATAACCAGGACATAGATTATCAGATAACAAACAAGAACCGGTTATAACCAGGACATAGATTATCAGATAACAAACAAGAACCGGTTATAACCAGGACATAGATTATCAGATAACAAACAAGAACCGGTTATAACCAGGACATAGATTATCAGATAACAAACAAGAACCGGTTATAACCAGGACATAGATTATCAGATAACAAACAAGAACCGGTTATAACCAGGACATAGATTATCAGATAACAAACAAGAACCGGTTATAACCAGGACATAGATTATCAGATAACAAACAAGAACCGGTTATAACCAGGACATAGATTATCAGATAACAAACAAGAACCGGTTATAACCAGGACATAGATTATCAGATAACAAACAAGAACCGGTTATAACCAGGACATAGATTATCAGATAACAAACAAGAACCGGTTATAACCAGGACATAGATTATCAGATAACAAACAAGAACCGGTTATAACCAGGACATAGATTATCAGATAACAAACAAGAACCGGTTATAACCAGGACATAGATTATCAGATAACAAACAAGAACCGGTTATAACCAGGACATAGATTATCAGATAACAAACAAGAACCGGTTATAACCAGGACATAGATTATCAGATAACAAACAAGAACCGGTTATAACCAGGACATAGATTATCAGATAACACACAAGAACCGGTTATAACCAGGACATAGATTATCAGATAACAAACAAGAATAGGTTATAACCAGGACATAGATTATCAGATAACAAACAAGAACCGGATATAACCAGTATATACTTACATTTAGAGCGGTTCCACTTCCATATGTGGTAATACAGGAATTGACAAAACAACACGATGTCAGCAAACACAAAATAAATAGCCAAGTAAATCTGAAACAAAAAGGTTATATAAACTTTATTTATCTCAAAACAATTATGAAACAAGTTATTTCAATTTATATTAATCACTCTTTTTGGCCCAAATGTTAGCGTGCAGGGTCTTAATGTGAGAGGAGACCAGAGTACCCAGAGAAAACCCACATGGTCAGGCAGGTGAGCCCATACCTTTTCCCGCCTGATTGGGGAATTGAACCCCGGCAGCCTTGGTGAAAGGCGAGTGTGTTATCCACTGGGCCACCCGACCACCCAAACAAAGAGCAGTGTTATTAAACAATCAGGTGAGGGTTCAAGGGCTAAGGATTTTGAGTGGATGGCAGTAAGAAGAACCAGTAATTTGTACAGATTTAGTTTTTATACATGTATATATGTTGTTGTAGATTGGAATGGAGTAACTTATATGCAACTAGGGTCCATACGTCACAGTCGAGAGACATCCCTGCCCCCGTTTGGTTATTCTATGGTAAAACCACGGCTGCATTAACGCTGTATACACGCATATATATAATATCTCATAAGTCAATACATAATAATATTATATCTATTCATTTTTTTTTTTAATCTTTCGATAACTCAAAATTGTGAGTTTTGTTAAAAGAAATACATATCAAAAAGTTAACATTTGAAACAAAGAATTTTTACGTTATATTTCAGGAAGTAAATCAAACCTGTAATGGCAGCTGATTGGTCAGGATAGAACCAATGAGATTAGTGGCATCTCCCAGGGTCCACTGTAGAATAAGCAAGAAAGATATACCCTCCACTCCACGGATATTCCGACAATTCATCACCATTTGTCTGTAACCATCAACATACATATCTAGAGTGTGAACAATATACTGTACTCACAAAGTCATACAAGGGGGACAACTCTCTAAACATACATATCTAGAGTGTGAACAATATACTGTACTCACAAAGTCATACAAGGGGGACAACTGTCGTAAATAAATTGGTAGTATACACAGTACAGTGGCAAAACTATGCAAGGGAGACAACCATCTGATCTATCGGAAGTACTTACGGAATACTGACGATCATCCAGGACACAAGGGACACAAGGCCAAGGATGTCGGAGGCCACACCCTGGTTGTCATGGACACAGTCTCGGAGGATCAGCCATGGCCACTGAACAGAACAGTTATTGTTGGGGTGAGATTTGTTGGCCACATTCTCAAAGGGGTTCCAGTCCCTCCAGTGGTCCACGGACGAGCCAAACATCCACGGGGACAGGCCCGGCATGGCCGACACCAGTTCTCTGTACTACTGTAGTGTGTTGTCTAGGTGATCATCACTGCCATCAGACCAAGTACCCCACAAAAATCTCTACAGACAAATGGTACATGTTTATTACAACTGTAGTGTGTTGTCTAGGTCATCATCACTGCCATCAGACCAAGTACCCCACAGAAATCTCTACAGACAAATGGTACATGTTTATTACAACTGTAGTATGTTGTCTAGGATAGAGTCATCATCACTGCCATCAGACCAAGTACCCCACAGAAATCTCTACAGACAAATGGTACATGTTTATTACAACTGTAGTATGTTGTCTAGGATAGAGTCATCATCACTGCCATCAGACCAAGTACCCCACAGAAATCTCTACAGACAAATGGTACATGTTTATTACAACTGTAGTATGTTGTCTAGGATAGAGTCATCATCACTGCCATCAGACCAAGTACCCCACAGAAATCTCTACAGACAAATGGTACATGTTTATTACAACTGTAGTATGTTGTCTAGGATAGAGTCATCATCACTGCCATCAGACCAAATACCCCACAGAAATCTCTACAGACAAATGGTACATGTTTATTACAACTGTAGTATGTTGTCTAGGATAGAGTCATCATCACTGCCATCAGACCAAGTACCCCACAGAAATCTCTACAGACAAATGGTACATGTTTATTACAACTGTAGTATGTTGTCTAGGATAGAGTCATCATCACTGCCATCAGACCAAGTACCCCACAGAAATCTCTACAGACAAATGGTACATGTTTATTACAACTGTAGTATGTTGTCTAGGATAGAGTCATCATCACTGCCATCAGACCAAGTACCCCACAGAAATCTCTACAGACAAATGGTACATGTTTATTACATCTGATAACCTGTCCATCGATTATATTCTGAAATACAAAGCAATAAACTGTTATTACAACTGATAACCTGTTCATCGATTATATTCTGAAATACAAAGCAATAAACTGTTATTACAAACTGATATTCTGTTCAGCCATTTTATTCTGAAGTCAGCGAGTTTCTATACCAAAACCAATTATCAATGCAAGCTTAAAACATTAAACTTCATGAAATGAAAATCTAATTTTGCCCACGCATCAAATACACAATGCTTGGAATATTTCTAACTTTGATAATGTAAGAAATTCATAATCAACTTATGATTGATTATTGGTTGAAATTGATGCTGAAATGAAAATATTTCATCCTTGAATGTTTTATTTTGATCATACTTAATTATATAAACTAAATAGATCGATGGGATGTTGATATAACAGTCATAGCGATTCAGAAGTTGACAATGACTCAAAGATATCTCCTGGAGGATTGAACGTAAGTTTTTCTCTCCAGGAGATCAATGGTTTTGTATGTTTTAAGTTCTTTTTTGATACTTTTTGACTAAAACACTTATCCTGAAGCTGATTACCAAGTTACTATAACAACCACAGCTACCTATTTTAAGTGGTGGAAAAAAGCTGGGAGTTAACGTGAGAAAATCCCCGACCTGCGGACAGTACCTGGCAAATGTATCAAACCTGTGACCTGGTGGTGCAAAAAGGTACTAAATTACTAATGTGCTAGTATCTACCCCATCAGTTTATATCAGCGCATTTGACGGATTTGTATCATTTTGCTCAATCACGAGATGTATCTGTGGTTACTTTAGGATTTATTGTTAGTAAACCAGAAATCAAGTTAAAATATTGATTACAAGAACAACACACACAATGTATTTAGTACACGTTGTCCAGAGAATGGGAACAACTTCAAACAGACAGCAAGAAACATGTGTATAATACTTCAACTAAATAAATTGATTACGGGAACTACAAAGTTAGAACAAGTGTTTATACAGACAACAGGAACAATAGACTCTTAAATAGAAATCTGGTTACACAATTGAATACAGGAACCACAAGTATATTGTTAGTAAATTAATTTTTGAATTCAAGATACTGTAAATCTGCACTAACCCCATCTGTTCAGTCAAAACACATATAATTTCACAGCAAGACTTTTTTAAACACAAAGATACTGTATTAGTATTGTACTTGTCATTATTGGACATCAGAGAAACATCTTCTCACAAGCATGACACCACACCATAAGACAGGAGTTATTGATTAGCTGTTATACAGAATCAATATATCAATTTAAAATCCTGGAAGGCATAAAATTATAACACCCAGTCAGAGATTAAAATCTTCACATTTTTCAATCGTCTGTCTACTGCACTAGTAATGGCCAATCTAAATCTGTCTCTTACACCTGTGTAACATATCCCCAGGGCCTGTTCTACCTATCCTCAGATCCCCAGGGCCTGTTCTACCTGTCCTCAGATCCCCAGGGCCTGTTCTACCTATCCTCAGATCATCAGGCCTGATCTACCTGTCCTTGGATCACCAGACTTCTAAGGCCATCATACCTATAACGGGCCTATAGCGGGGATGTGGCACGTACCTCACTCAGCGAATTTAACACAAGTAAGTGTAGCTAATACATTCCGTTATAATGCTGATTAATTTTTAATTGTTATAACATATGAACAAGGTGGCTGGGTGACACAGTGGATAACACACATACATGACCAAGGCCGCTGATTCTGGCTTACTAGTTAATTTCCTTATATACGTATTACAAACAGTAGCTTTTAAAGAACTACATGTACCCTCTCTTGATATACTTATATATGACACAGATAGACATCCATTATTCTCAAAAATAGAAACAGGTATTATATATATGATGCTGCATTTCTCACGATTAACTATTGAACCAAGAATCAATGAGTTAGAATGATTGACTTTGAAAAAATAAAACACACAAACAAAAGTTACAGTAATGGAGCTGAAGTGCCACCTCCTATGGCTAACAACTCCTATGGCTAACACTACTTGTAATATATTTATGTGTACAACCTTGGATTTTCCTAGTTTCAGACAAGAACATGTACACATGACCTAAAGTATTACAGAGAAAATTTAATTAAAAACCTGGATGAAAATAAAATTGTTCAAATAGGTATGCAAAAATGTTTTTCCTAAATATTTAAAACTGAAATTGAAGTCAACATCTTCAATAAAGAATAAAGAATGTTGAACATTATAAAATTTTAGAAATGTTTGGTTAAGACACTTTAAAGTTTTAATGGTGACTGTGCATTTTCCCAGAAATCCAGACCATTAATAAAAACCCTATATGCCTTAACTATGGCAGTGCAATAGACCCAACACTAAAGTGTGTGTGGGAGATATCTTCCTGGTTTGTTAAGTACAGGTGTCGGAGGAGTAACATGACCACAACGTTTAACACGGAAGATTTGGTCAATAAATATATATATATATGAAAAGTTTAAATAGTGGGAATTACCATTTTTAATGTTGACTATACATGCAATATATTTATCTACATAATTCACAGACTGCAACATGTTAGCTTAGCATGTAATGACATTGGATAATGTACCTGTGATTACCTGACATTTTACCTGGGGTTACATACCTGTCTGATTGATTGTAGGCCTCTTTTATAGGACATTGATCTTGTGTAATAAAGGGCCTGAAGTGTCACTTTCTCCCATATCTATAGATATGTCATAATAATTATTATAATCCCGTACATAACTCAGGGGCTCACTGAGGCCACTTAAAGGGAACTCATTAACTCACAATCATTTACATATTATGTTTCCATTTTTATTCAAATGTCATTTATAAGAAGTTGACGTCATATTGAACTTTCCCTTCACATCAACCTAATTTGCGAACCTACCATCAAGTCAAATATAATACAATCACTATCACTACAATCGAGATTATCGACTTGTTGTCTTTTTCTATTGAAGTAATGTGTACAAAAAAAATAAATGTTCCTCTCATATATATAGATTAACCATTCCTAGCTTTTTTTAGACAGTGAGATATTTAAACACTGAATTATTTATTTAGGCTTTACATTAAATAATTAAACTTACCATTGTCTTCATATAGCACTGGAACCTTAGTTTAGAAGTGTTAAAGTACTGGGAGGTCCACAAACCTTATAGTTCAGAGCTCACAATGGGTGAACAAAGAAAATGGTCAAAATACTGATAATCTGCCCAATAATCTCCCAGTCCGATATAGTTAAGTCTATTCCGTAAGTATAAACCAATAACTATAAAATAGCGCTGATATTTAGTACAGAATAGTAATTCAATTTCATACTGAATTGATATATATACCAGTATAAATTTATAACAATTCTAAGAATTTCATGCTGAAGCAAAATGTGTGACAAAATTACATCTGTCTCAAATAACTTACAATGACTCCTACATATTTCACAAAATAATAACAGAAATGTCTTAGATTAAACTTTTCTACACACTAACAAAGTACATTATTTAGTTTAATGAAACATGAGATAATAAACTTCTATTAATATAGAGAACACAGGAATATATTAAGCTGCTGATGTGGAGGCATATACCTACATGTATACCAAATCATTGTCATTGAGAAACCAACATTTTTGAAAAAAAAACAGTCTATTTTTAGCTACTGTGACCTTACCCTAAACGCAATAGGAATCTTCCTTTTCCCAAGGGCTATTTAAAAATATAAGCTTTATTTATTTTTTAACAATTGTGAAACAAGTTTTTACAGTCTATACTAATCATTCTTGTTGACCCGAATATTAGCGCGCAGGGAGTCTTGCTGTGGGAGAAAACCGGAGTACCCAGAGAAAACCCACGTGGTCGGGCAGGTGACCCCATACCTTTTCACGTCCGATCGGGGAATCGAACCCCGGCCGCCTTGGTGAAAGGCAAGTGCGCTATTCACTGCGCCACCCGACCACCCAAGGGCTATTGATCTGATTTTATCTTCAAGAGATAGTGCCTTGAAATCATTTTCCAATAATGTTAGCAAACCAATCAAACATTTTTATTCAACTCTGATTACAGGACTACAGTCAATTGGGGAAAATGGGGGGGATGAATGAAATTAACATAACATTAATAGGTCATGTCCCACTGTCTACAGGTTCTCAACTAACGACCACAAGGTCAATAGGTCATGTCAAACTGTCTTGGAGATCTCAACCAATGACATCAAGGTCAATAGGTCATGTCAAACTGTCTGGGGATCTCAACCAATGACCTCAAGGTCAATAGGTCATGTCAAACTGTCTGGGGATCCCAACCAACGACCTCAAGGTCAATAGGTCATGTCAAACTGTCTGGGGATCCCAACCAACGACCTCAAGGTCAATAGGTCATGTCAAACTGTCTGGGGGATCCCAACCAACGATCTCAAGGTCAAAAAGTCATGTCCCATCATCTGTGGTATCCCAAAAAACAACTTCAATTAAATAGGCTAAAAGTATGCTATCAGATCAGTAGCTGCTACTATGTACCAGTTTTCTTAAATGGCGTTGTAATAACAAACAATAATTACACAAAGTCAGATAGAAGGAACCCAATCTTGAATCACTGATATTTCAAACCCTATCTGTTCATTTTTTTTAAACCAAGTAAAGAAAAAATTCAGACTGTGAAAAATAAATGGCAAAATTCATGGATAAGTTACCTGCACATCGCTACCAACTTTGCAGTATATAGAAACTGAGAAAGCTTTTAAACTGTCACCTTCTGTTAGTAATTGTTAAATGTAATAAAACTAATCATCGGGTGCAGAGCCAACGCCGTACTTCTGATCTAGGTTCTGTAGGTTCCGTTATCCCTTGCTTGGATACCCAGGGGTATGCAGGGCGATTGAGGAACGGGAAACTAAAGGCAATATTCAATCACAATAAGCTCAGGATAGGTTGGTTTCTTTAATATAACTGATACACTGCAATATCATATTTTAAGCATCATATTTTTTTTGAGATTTGTCAGGTTTACAAAAAATATTTTAAGTTACACTAGAATGAAGATTTCATTTGTAGATAGAGCACTTAGTATTGTATGCATGAAGATCTTGACAGACATAAGTCAAAACAATGTTCGTTTCCAGTTACCCTACCAAAATTGTGTGTCCATAACCTAAATATATTTTACAATTTTCAAGGAAGCATTGTTTAAACTTGACTACAGATTTCTCTAGTTTACCCCTTTAAATGTTGAAATAAAATGAAATTATATATAAAATTTATTACTGACATACATAACCTATATTTCTTCAGATATTTAATAGGAAACAAACATGGGTTTGTTTGGCCATACTTTCCCATCCTATATAATTTCATTGCAAATACTGAAAATGTTCACTAGCATTTACAAGTTACATTTTCTACTACAGTACTAGCCTTTGGCATCAGACTAGTGACATTGTGCACCCTGCAAGAAAGAGGTCATGTTCAGAACATTAAGATGTAAACGAGCATAATTTAACTTCACCATTCAAAGTTCCATCATATATATGTAATATCTTACCAGTCAGTAGTTTCAGCATCTAACTCGAAAATCAGACTATTTGAAGTAAAAAAAATGAGTAATTCCATAGAACACCCGGCAATTAAATACAACTTACAAATGAAATAATACAATTTCTTCATACACAATAACTATTTAACCAGCCACTCAAGCGAAATTTATACATCCACAAGTCAGGTTCAACAGTTTTCAACTGGAGCTTGCAACACACACCATCAATAACTCCGTGTTTGTCTACAAATATCCATTGTAATCATCTGGGTGACATCGGATGGATTTGATGCATTTAAAACACATTAAACACAATGGGTTCACCGCTGTTGTACAGCACGTGATTATGACTGATCACTTGAAGCTGGCCTAGGCAGGGGGAGGGGGTTTCACAAGTGTCCATTGGTCGCTTTAATCATGAATGGGCATCGACAGTTACTGGTTGTATTTCCGATGCACATTTCTCGTATAAATAAAGTCCGTGAAAAGATTAAGCAAACCCATTCACTATAGCTTACTGTCAGGTCGAATAATATTTATCATTTGTAAACAAACTGAAGAGAAAATAACTCTAGGCCTAGGTGTTATTTGACAACATAAACTAGTTAACGTCACCATCTGAGCTCGTTTCCTATTTTAACAGACTGATTTATACCGTTACTTACTCATGTTGTATAACAGAACAGATCCAAAAAGTATAGGTGGATATCGTGTAAAACCCAGGTTCGTTACAGGTATAAATATTAGCTCATTCGGTCTCATTGGGTTCTAGGACGCCATTTTTTCCATGACCCTTGACCTCGTTTTCGTACCGAAAATGTTCGGCGAATCACGGAAACACCCGAGTTTTAAGCCGTCTCCTTGCAGACCTAAATAGGTAGCCATAATTTTCTTATTCGATTACAATCTTACGCCATCTTGTACTCAAACATACGTATTTAACTTATTGGACCCGTAAGTATGAAAGTTAAACATTCAATCTTATTATTTTATGTGTTTGTTTCCTTCTTCATAGGAGACAGTGCTTGGAAACAAGCCTCCGAAGGGTCCTTACCCAAGGACTTCATCGCTTCCCTTTTCACGCTGAAATGAATGTGCAGAAGGTGAAACCACCAGTTTCAGCTGCTGTTCAGATACCAGGACACTCACAACCAAGGAACATTGTGTATCCTTTACCCATTGTTTATAAAGTTGGATAATTGGAATCGTATTTAGCGTATTCTGCGCAGTTACTTGTCGTAACAGCTGCCGGTAAGTCCCAACACGGGGCCAGTTTCTAAGGAAAATCCAGAGCAACATGTGTTGAATTTTCATGTTGAATTAAAGTAAAATATGTCTTATAACGATTCTTATGTATAGCCATAATCATTGTTTCAAGTTCTGCATTGATGACTGATGAATTTTAACATCGGTTTTTTAATAGAAGCTAAAAAAATGATTAGATGTAGGCGGGGCCATGTTTTGGTATGTGGTGCGTGCTCATGTGACGAAACGAGCCACATGTACCGGCCCACTTGACGAACCTCATGGTCGGTGAAAATCGCAGAAAATAGTAAGATTGTAACATTTAAAAAGTGTTGATGTAGTGCATTAAGTCGAAATATAGCAGATGTCAAAATATTTTTACACGTGGGGCAAGACAACCGAGACAGGAAATATAGCCGGTCGAGTCATGCGTACGGCATGGCCGACCATGTTCTTATGGCCGATATTGAAACACTGTAGACTATGGCACGTAATTTACATATCGATTTCTTTGTTATGTCTAGGTTTACACTGAAATATTTATGATTATTTCAATGAAAATGTTCCATATTTCTTTTAGATCGTAAAAAAAAATCTTCTGAATGTTTTATCATGATTACGGTTTTATTTTCTTAAAAAAATCTTGTCATTACTGTCTGGTTCCTGTTTCTGTGACGTTATTTATAAACGTGTGTATATACATTAAATGAGTCATGAGTTCACATTTATAAGCATGATATTTACGTAGTACAAAGGATCCCATCCATTCTTTGTCCGACAAATATGATTTCTCACAAATATCGTAGAAAACTACAGAAAGGTAAGACAAGTTTTAATTTTCCAGATATAAGTCTACATGGATGGGAGGATTTCTTTCTTTAAGTTCATATTTAAGGACTGTCATTGTGTTGTGCTTTTCACAATAATTCAATTTTCGTTTTCATGTAGACACTTGTAAATTTACTGAAAGTTAGACCACACAGATCAGAAAAGAAACTGATTCTTGAAAATCAATTCATTGCCTACATGTCTTGTCAAATGATTAATTGTTTCATATTGAAATTGTTTTGATTATATTGAAATATTATATAATAGAATCCTAAAAAAGTTAACTGAAGAGTAGAAAAGGTGATTTGATTTCGATATTGAATGACACAAGGTTTATCAGGGAAGTTTGGGAAACAGACTCTGGGTTCTATTTGGGGAAATCGCCAACACAAATGGACATTCCCAAAATTGAAATTGTGAATTTCAAAAACATTGCAAATTGTGAAACAGAATGCATTATTGAATAGTTCTGTCACTTTAGAATAGAAATGTCTGAAATGTCTACAGTATACTTAACATGATTCATAAATCACGAAGGAAGACAAATATTAAAAAAGAAAATACAATTTATTTGAATTAATTAGGACAAATTTAATTTGCTGCCCCATCACAACATTTGGTATCTCTCTCTTTCCTTTTCTTTATTCCCTAATTTAGTGTTTCCTTAGGCATCTGTCTTTATATATATGACCAGACAGACTTTCAAAGCTATATAAAATGTTCCTGGGAAAACATCTATGAAACTGATTTTGTGTTTCATAGTACATTTAACATGTCAAGGTGCACTTGTAAAATATTACCTGGAAAATTCTGGGGATGACACATCCAGAAAAATGCTTATTAAAAGAAATAAATTACAAGGCATATTCAGATATTCCTATTAATTTTGTGGAACTTTTGGAAATCGTCTTTTAAATATACCCCAAAAATCTGTAGATTCCTTTTAGTGTTTTATATGACCATCATATTGAACTTCTTACAGATGTATTGATAATTTCATAATACTGTCGTTAATACATAGCCCTAGATAGTGGTTGGTATCTACTTGCTGTATGTACTAAATAAGGAACCAAATGTTCTATGGGAAAGTCGACATCTGCGGCTATTTTAAACAGTTATATGTCGCTCTGTGAAATGAAATCTAGAAGGTGTACTGTAGAGCGACTTCATGAGGACAAATTATAACCATGGCAGAAAATTGAGAGAACTTAATAGAATGGGTGATTGTCTGTCCACTAAAAGTCGGGTAAAAAGTAAGTTGATGGTTTCCGAAGACCTAAAAAAAGAAAAGGTAAAATGAAAAATAGGACAATTGGGTTTATCAGCAGAACAGTTCAACTTTATCATAGAGTGTGTTCTGTCTTGTTACTTAATGTTATTATTTGAATTGGGTAAAATTACATGTTTGCTGTTACATACAAATATGGGCATTTTGATATTACACAGTAAACTTTTTTTTTCTTTTTTTTTTTTTCCGAAGCCTGTTGTTTTTTAAGAACAAACAAAAGGTTAATTTTTCTAAGACATTTTAACAACACAAACTTATGTCATCAGACATCATGGTCATTACACATTTTACACAACTTTCCAGTGGAGTACATCTTACGTGTCGGGCATATATATGATTCACATACCAAGTTTTAGGTTATATTGTATGTCACTGTAGACAATAGCCAAAACTGGGGGATGGGATCAACAGAGAATAATACTAAATTGGGAAAGGGAGAACTGTCCAAATATACCGAGTTGTGCATAAAGGTATTTAGTAATTATAGTCCTGGTATGTGTAGGTTTTATAGATACTAGACAGCATCATTGTGAAGTATTTAATTATTCCCCGTTCTCCATGGCTGTTGGGAGGGCATTAAACCAAAAAAAAATAAAAATAGATTATTCCTTAATCCTAAGCAGACCTTCGAGAGTTACAACACCACCTGTTCATAGTGAGTATACCTCTTGGTACCAAACTTGAAATGTAATTTTCTGAAATTGTTTTATTTTCATCATAACTCATTTCATCAGCTAAGTACCATTGTCTTATTTTCATCATTACTCATTTCATCAGCTAAATACCTTGATGTATTCAGTCTTGTACATTCAATGCATTTGATGTTTTTCAGGAGGTCCGGAAGAACAAGTTCCACAGCAGTACCCCTCCTTTCAACCAGGGTTAGTGAATATTGGCTATCCCAATCAGGTAGGTAGCCCGGTCTTCCTGAAGATTTTCAAAAAGAGACATAAGTTGCAACAGCTGTTTCATATTATAGCAAAAGTTCTTTTTACAAAGTTAAAAAAAAAGATAACATTTTTGAAGCTTTGATAAAACTTGAATTTGCAAAAGACAGTTGAGATTAGCTGTAAAATCTACATGGTCATAATTGCAGATGGACCTTGTAGAAACTATAAAGTAAAGTTTTGAAAATAAATTTTCCCAAAAGCATCTGCATCGGATATGGTGAACTTAATTACCTATTTTGTTAAATGCCAAATTTGATATTTTTTGGGACAATTTTTTCTTTCAGAACTGACTTAAATAATTTGTACTTTTCAGAAATCTTGGAATGTTTTTTGAATGAAATGTAACTTCTATAACAAAATGACTTGTTCTAAATTTAAGTTCCTGATATCGCAACAGCAGCAACAACAGCCACAGACACAAGGCAATCCCCATGAATTAGACAAGAGTCAGCTGACCACCTCCCAAACATTCGGGGGACAGCGAACTCCAGTAACTATTCAACAAAATATGTATCAAAACCCTACGTCAGGCATGAGAGCTGGTCCCCCGCCCCCAGTAAGTATTTTAATAATATAAATGTGACTGACAATAATTGTTTTGCACGAATCTGACCTTTCTTTATATTATAGAAAATGACTATTAAACTGAAAATTTGCAATAGTTTGCAAATTCTGTTTGATGATATTAAAAGAGCAATTGACTCGATGCATAAATTTGAAACTTGGAAGAGCTTTGCTTGATGAAAAAAACGAAACAGACACCAGTAAGGTGATTAAATCAACAATGTTTGGGTTTGCGCGGAGAATAAATATAAAAACCTCAGTTGATCTTGGATCTTTTGTACAAAAAAAATGTATGCTTTTTAAGTACATGTGGAAAATTTTATGGTGTATAATTTTACAGCTGAAATTAATCAAACTGAAGCATGAAAAACCAATCTGAATCAAGACTAAACCATGACATCTTAAATGATGTCAATAAAGATATACTCGAAGTATTTAAAACAGAGCAAAAAATTACTTTCATTGAATTGTAGTCCCTTTATTACAGCCCTTTTACTCTGGCCAAACACAGCCACGGCAAGCAAGGTACTCTGGGCCTCCTCCCATCAGTCAGCCGCCAAGCCAGCCCATGTACCCAACAATGTACATGGCGCAAAACCACCAACCAGGAACGTTTCAACCCCCTGGTGGTACACAGATAATTGTTCAGCCACAACTCTCGATGATGGTAACTTGCAATATCAACTATAGTTAGCCTATACATGTAGATAGCATAGGAAAACTGCTCAGCTTGGATAGGCAGATATGGACACAAAATCTTGTATTCAGCTTGCCAAATTAACATAATTACAAATATCTGGTAAAAATGTGTCCAGCTTATTTTACCTTTGCCTCTTTGTTTAAAGTCAAATTAGTGCAAAATTTCAGTAAAGTCTTGTCTTAGTTCTTAAATTTGACAAATAATAAAATTGTTATGCAATTTAAGATACTGTTTCGGTCTTTGAACTTTGAACTTTAACTCTTTGACAAAAGTGAAATAAGTGCAAAATTTTCAATAACGTCTTATCCAGGGTGTCAATTTTAAAGTATTAAAATGATTTGCATGACATCAAAAGTATACAAAAAGTGCACCTTATCGCCCACTTTTGGCTTAAAAGGGTAGACATTTTTGGTTCGCTGGTGGTTTGCTTATTTTTCTTGTCCACAGGGTTCATGTGTTTTGTTTGTCTTGTGTATCAGGTTGGTAATAGAATGAGCACTCCCCAGTTTGCCCTACAGACCTCTCAACAGGGAATGACTGGCATGACCTATCCGATGACTACCAATCAAACAGCGACTCAACAGTTTAACCCAATCACTGTGTACCAGCAAAATAACCAAGCCCAGAGGCCACCATCTGCAGGCATGATCACACCACAAACAAGTCAGCCAGGAAAACGAGAGAAACACATGATCAAGATTGTAGATCCAAATACAGGAAAGGATATATCAAGTGAAATATTTAGCACATCTCGGCCGGGTCGTTCGACTACTCCAGGCTCCAGTCCTTCCCCTGTGGCTGTAGTACCGGGAGAGGCTGCCTCCGAGTCTGAATCAAGTCCACTTGTTGAAGTAAGCATGTTAACTTTTTTTACACATACCAGCATTATGAACCAAACCCCTGTGTTGAATGAAGTATTAATTATGCTCATCTATGTTTGTTAAAGGATTACAGTATTTGTAGCCTCAAAAAGATTAAAGTTAAAAACAAAATAGATAAAACTTTAGGTACATTGTAATATGGATTTCACATAAAATTGATTGAACACAGGTCTTGGTTTAGTTTTAAGCTTATTCTGTTGTCTGTGAAGCATGGTCCACATTCACAACATCTAGATTAACCCTTGCATCCATGGAAGAGATTAGTGTTACTTGTATCTGTCCTTTTCATCTAGATCAATATGGCAGTTTATTTTTTGATCAAGTGTCATCGATTTTGCATATATATTTTTTACAGATTTTGATCAAATTACAATGTCGAAGCTAGTATGTCGGGGTTTGTAGGCCAAGGTCAGTTTTGAAGCAATATACTATTCATTGACTTCAGAAATAATTTAGTGATTACACCTGTTATAGGTATAAAATGTTGATGTTTTATCCTGGAGTGTCAGGAATTCTAAAATATTACATTAATGTTTGTGTTTCAGAGCCCCCCACCTCCACCTCCAGAATCCCCGAACGATCACCAGGGTGACATAGCAGCAGTGTTTGCTGCCCAGGTGGCTGCTACATTAAAAGCAGAAGTTCAAGCAGAGCCTGGGGTGTCTTCCAAACTTTCTCACAATGTGCCATCGTTTACACCTGCAGAATCGTACCAACCAGTTAGTGCTACTAGTGAGGAGATTCCACAGGAATCTAATTCACCGGTCGTAGAACCAGTCGTAGAAGAAGTCGGTGAATCAGACACTCCAGCTGTTAATCCGCCTGTTAAGGAAGCCACAACAGTTTTAGCGGAAGTTTCGGTGGAATCCGGAAAGGTTTCAAATTCAGTACGTAGTGTAACTATAGAATCCAACCCAGGTCTTTCAAACACAAACGACTTAGTTCCAGCTACACAAGGAGAAACTGCTTTTGTGTCGGATTCTGGCGTTGATGTACAATCTGTGTCATCACTGGAGCCCAGTGACTCTTCAGTGACCGACGGCACGAAACCAGACAACCAAAATGTGGTAATTGATGAAGTGGACACTCAAGTGGAACCACCAAAGCCTTTCATAACAGAATCTGAACCTGATGTTAGTGTAGCAACAACAAGTGATAATACAAGGACTACAGATCCAGTAGATGTGAAAATTGAGGCAGAGGAAACACTTGTGAACAATACCTCTAAACAGGAGGATTCAAGTGAGAAAGACGAGGTGCCAAACGTATCGCAAGCAAATGTGGTAGAACCCGAGGATTCCAATCCTGGGCCTATTGTCAAAGAGGAAACCAAGGGGAAGAAGAAAGTCGAGGACGAAACCAAGAAAGTGGAAGAATCTAAGAAAACAGATGCAGAAGTGTTTGTGAAACCACAGGTTAGTAGAAGTTATAGTGGTTGCTCCACTTACATTCGATCAGTCGGGGTCCAATATTTTTTTTAACTTTCCACCACTATGTTTCTAATGGAATCTATATAACTCAAAACTTGAGACAGGAAAAATTGGTGGATTGCAATATCCCGACTAAAACTAACATTATTCTTTACCCACCACAATCTAGAATTTGTTTCGATCGGTGTTGAAAAGTTGGAAAGCATCTGTATCTTGTTTGTACCAGTGTTAATTTCTAGGATAAAGATTTAAAAGATTTCTTAAATGAATTAGCCATATAGCTGGAATAATTGGTTGGGGTATATACATGGCTTAAATTTTGTCCTTCAATACTGTTTGGTTCATATTTAGTGGTAGATGGTATTTGGTAAAGAGTGTACATAGCAAACGAAAAACAACCATTAGACAAGATGGCCACCGTACCTTCTGATGGTGCAAATACTTTGGGATATAACATCTGTTGATAGTATTTTGTTCATCCATGGTGATAATTTGTATTTTTAAGTATCAAATATGTGTGTGTAACCTTTTGTTGCCAATATTTTTGAAATCTGAAAATTATCAAACATCATCACCTGTCTGAGCCTACGAGTGATCTAGCTTCACTATTGATGTTGGCCAGACCTGGTAATTTACTTTCAATAACTACTGAACTGTTCCTTTTTACTACAGCCAGTGGAAATACCAGCACCTGTACCAGAACCTATTGTTGTTCCTCCTCAAACGTTACCGGAAACGCAAGAAGTCAATGAAACAACAGAAACGATGCAAGAAGTGGAGGTACAAATACAAGACAAAATAGAGGAAGAGAATCAAAAGAATGAAGAAAAGAGTAAAGACGCTAAAGAAAACCTGAAAACCAGTGATGACCCAGAGAAACCAGGGGTCGACACAAAGGAAACAAAATACACCTATAAAGAAGGTAAAACATTTCAAAGGTTGAATTGAAAACCAGTACAGAGCTTGGTTGGGTTCCACTACATGGTTCTATAGAAACTTAAAGTCTATGTAAGGCCAAACAAGTTTGATTACTTGGTTCTCAGGCCTGCGCGCATTTCATTTTAGGTCACGGCATTGCCGATTTAATCGTGAAAGTAATAAAAAAAACAACTGTGAATGCTGCACCAGCCGCCGTCTTTAAAAGAATCCGGAAAATTGGTCCGCATGTCGTTTTTACTCGTTAGTCACCCAAGTCCCGAAAACCTTTGAATAAAGATAAGGATTGAGATAATATATGCAAGCGTTAAAATGATCATGACTTTTTAGTCTTGTGTACAAATGGCGCTCATTTCGGTACAAATAAGGAATGGGGGTTTCGTGATTCTCGTCCTGAACATCGTGGGGGGATTTTGGGAGGCTTGCTCTATGACGGGTCTCTACACAACTATAAAAAGACAAGGTAATGCCCACAATAAACGTTTTACAAACTACACAATAAAAAAAAATGCTTGTCTCATTTTTGCCATGTAAAATGTGGGGGGAAACACCCGCCCTGTCGCATCTCTTTTGAAAAAAATTGGCCTGAGAACCAAGTAATTAATTTTGTTTGGCCTAAATTGATAAGTTATAGATGTCATTTGAAAATTTCCTGTTTAAAATATTTGTATATATGTTGTAGTTTAACAACAGGTTCACAGTATAAACTTTGGTCAATAACAGTGTTCAGTTTCAACAAGTTTCTTTGTATAGAGATAATATGCAAGAATATTGTCCTTTATGTTGGTTAAAACAGATTTTACAATTAAAAAACTGGGATTCGATCGAAGATGTTATGACATGAACAGTGTTTTTGTTTTAGCTAGTGAATAACTTAGTTCAAGTTAGTATCTTCAATAAGATTCATCTGTTTTGTAATATGTATGCATCCAAGTTTTACTTCATACCCAAACAATGTATGTATTAAACATGCCGCAACATTTCAAGACCAACTGGTCCCTTTATCAAGTTATTACTTAACTTTGATGCAATCTAGTGTCAAATTTATGAATTCAATGGCATATGATGGAATTTTTCAGACCAATGGAGTCCTATAAATCTAGAAGGGAAGCGATTATATGACCGGGATTTCTTGCTGCAAATGCAATATGCTGGAGACTCCACAACCAAGCCTGTTGGTCTGCCAGATCTACCTGATATTATTTTAGACAAAGTAAGTTTTTTCTTGGATGACTGCAACCGGGTCAAATATGTGACATTGATAGGTAAAAACCAATATTAACCCAGTTCTAATTTGCCTTTCACATATACATAAATGTATGTGGTTATCTGTCGGGATAATTTTGCTTTCATAACAGGAGTTGTGAAAGTTGAATTGCGGCAACATATAAGGAGTATACAGTAACTTATTTGGTTTTCGGGTGCGAGGAAAATTCACAAATTATTATCTAGTTTTATCCTTCTGGTGAAACATGTACAAATTGAATACAAACTGTTTGAATCCCTCTTGGAAATTAAAACATTCTCTGTATCTTAAGTTTTAAAAGAAATATATTTTCAGATTTATAATAAACTACATTTTCTTGGAGTACATGTTACAGTTTGGTTTATGTAATTCTTAAAAAGGTGCTTCAAATTCAGTGTGAATTACTGCCTCTATATCAGATTGAAGCCAAAAACTGCAAGGGAATCCCAGTATTTTCTATGCGATATCATTGTCATTACCCACTTAAGATCGAAATTGACACTAAGATTGTTTTGTATGATACAGTAACCACTAAAATAGTACATTTACAATATGCTACCAATCTAACTTTAGTTCATCATTTCTAGAGAGTAAACTGGATTAAAACTTGAAACCCATAAACAAAATTGTTTGTATTATGGTAGCCATGGTGATAACACCTTCATGTAAAATTTCAGACGTATTTGAAAGGAATCATCTAAGCTTCCAGACAGTGTTTTTATTTTGATTTCCTGTTTTTCGTGTAGCCTAACTACAACCAACAGTCCGGAGGTGGCGGCCACAGTGGTGGTGGAGGAGGAGGGGGAAGGGGACCCTCTTTCTCCCGAGACCCGCAGTCATTCAGTGGATCCTTTGATTTCACACCCGGCTATGTCAGGTCACCAAGAGTTGTAAGTAGCACTTCAAGGATTCTGTTATAAGTCTGACAAAAATGAGTTGAACCTGTTCAGGAATGTCTGTAGTCCTGTTAGTTTTATGACCCATTAAATGAGATTTTAAATTTCATTTTTTGCGCATTTCTTCAAATGTTTTCCTAAATAATATGATTTATTCAGCTAGCAAGGGTGACAGTGAAATACTAATTGAATGAGAGATGAAAAAGAATATTTAAAGAATAATCACCTCCAATACAAATATCGAAGAAGTCTGGCAGGAAAAGTTCACCTGAATTGTTGTTTCTATTGAATTATCAAGAGCTTAACCTATGTTCCCTAAAGGAAAATTGACCTGCCCATAATCATAATGGTAATTGGGAGTCGGCATGACGGGTTAATATTGTGGTCTGCCTATGATAAGGTTAGCAACTTAGAATGTGTAAAACACCTTCATTCTAAATAGTTCAAGAGCACATAAAAAATTCTTTTGGTGAAAGTTGCAGTGCATACATTATCAAAAGACCAGGAAGAAAATAACATCCAGTTCTCTTAATAGTTATTCTGTTAGTGATTTGCTGTCGACAAAGTAATCATTTAAATAGATTTTTACAGAGATTCCCGAAATAACTGAAGTTGAGTAATGCTGTTTGGTTGAAAGACAGTTTAGAATTTTGCCTATTTAGTTTTTGTGCCAAACTGATCATCAGTTGAGTCGACTTGCATTTTCATGTGAGTTGGTTTGCCATGTGCTGAATGTGGTGACTTTGTGATTCAGGGCGGCACTGAGCGTGGTGGTGAGCGTGAGCGTGGTGGTGAACGTGGTGATCGTGGTGGCAGGATGACCAAGAGTGGAAGTAACCAGGGCCGTAAGATGGGAGGGCCTCCTCAGAGGATCATCACACATGTCTCTATAGGACAAGATGTCACATTACACAAGGCTGGTGATGCTTGGAAACCACAGAAGAGCACAGAAAAAGTAGAAGATCCAGAAGAGAAGAAGACAGAGGTAAAAAAAAAAGATCAGGACTTTTCTACATGTTTCAGTACAGGAATCTACTACCAATGGTTGCAGAAATAGTGTTTTATTTTCACATTGAAATTTTTCATTAACAGAAAGAAAAAAGAAAAAAATGTTTCTAGCATTACTTTGACATCTGCTCGTATTTTTCCTCTTGCAGGATCTTTATTATTGAAATCATTTCATGTTTTATGATATCCAGGATTGCCCAAGTTGGAAAATTATATAAAACTTTTATAGAAATACAAAGAGAATATTTAAATCATATTCTTAAATGAGTCTTCAGTTTCTCAAACTACAATACAAATTACTGTAAGTTTTTTCATGGCTTCAACTTTGTATGTAAATTGATGCAGGGTTTAGGTAAAGAATATATAGTGATTACTGTCTGTTGTCAGTTGTGTATCAAAAAGTGATGAATGTCCATCTTTTACACGGTCGATATGGATGTTCATCTTTTACACGGTCAATATGGATGTCCATCTTTTACACGGTTGATATGGATGTTCATCTTTTACACGGTCAATATGGATGTTCATCTTTTACACGGTCGATATGGATGTTCATCTTTTACACGGTCGATATGGATGTCCATCTTTTACACGGTCGATATGGATGTCCATCTTTTACACGGTCGATATGGATGTCCATCTTTTACACGGTCGATATGGATGTCCATCTTTTACACGGTCGATATGGATGTCCATCTTTTACACGGTCGATATGGATGTCCATCTTTTACACGGTCGATATGGATGTCCATCTTTTACACGGTCGATATGGATGTCCATCTTTTACACGGTCGATATGGATGTCCATCTTTTACACGGTCGATATGGATGTCCATCTTTTACACGGTCGATATGGATGTCCATCTTTTACACGGTCGATATGGATGTCCATCTTTTACACGGTCGATATGGATGTCCATCTTTTACACGGTCGATATGGATGTCCATCTTTTACACGGTCGATATGGATGTCCATCTTTTACACGGTCGATATGGATGTCCATCTTTTACACGGTCGATATGGATGTCCATCTTTTACACGGTCGATATGGATGTCCATCTTTTACACGGTCGATATGGATGTCCATCTTTTACACGGTCGATATGGATGTCCATCTTTTACACGGTCGATATGGATGTCCATCTTTTACACGGTCGATATGGATGTCCATCTTTTACACGGTCGATATGGATGTCCATCTTTTACACGGTCGATATGGATGTCCATCTTTTACACGGTCGATATGGATGTCCATCTTTTACACGGTCGATATGGATGTCCATCTTTTACACGGTCGATATGGATGTCCATCTTTTACACGGTCGATATGGATGTCCATCTTTTACACGGTCGATATGGATGTCCATCTTTTACACGGTCGATATGGATGTCCATCTTTTACACGGTCGATATGGATGTCCATCTTTTACACGGTCGATATGGATGTCCATCTTTTACACGGTCGATATGGATGTCCATCTTTTACACGGTCGATATGGATGTCCATCTTTTACACGGTCGATATGGATGTCCATCTTTTACACGGTCGATATGGATGTCCATCTTTTACACGGTCGATATGGATGTCCATCTTTTACACGGTCGATATGGATGTCCATCTTTTACACGGTCGATATGGATGTCCATCTTTTACACGGTCGATATGGATGTCCATCTTTTACACGGTCGATATGGATGTCCATCTTTTACACGGTCGATATGGATGTCCATCTTTTACACGGTCGATATGGATGTCCATCTTTTACACGGTCGATATGGATGTCCATCTTTTACACGGTCGATATGGATGTCCATCTTTTACACGGTCGATATGGATGTCCATCTTTTACACGGTCGATATGGATGTCCATCTTTTACACGGTCGATATGGATGTCCATCTTTTACACGGTCGATATGGATGTCCATCTTTTACACGGTCGATATGGATGTCCATCTTTTACACGGTCGATATGGATGTCCATCTTTTACACGGTCGATATGGATGTCCATCTTTTACACGGTCGATATGGATGTCCATCTTTTACACGGTCGATATGGATGTCCATCTTTTACACGGTCGATATGGATGTCCATCTTTTACACGGTCGATATGGATGTCCATCTTTTACACGGTCGATATGGATGTCCATCTTTTACACGGTCGATATGGATGTCCATCTTTTACACGGTCGATATGGATGTCCATCTTTTACACGGTCGATATGGATGTCCATCTTTTACACGGTCGATATGATTGTCCATCTTTTACACGGTCGATATGGATGTCCATCTTTTACACCGTCGATATGGATGTTCATCTTTTACACGGTTGATATGGATGTCCATCTTTTACATGGTCGATATGGATGTTCATCTTTTACACGGTTGATATGGATGTCCATCTTTTACACGGTTGATATGGATGTCCATCTTTTACACGGTCAATATGATTGTCCATCTTTTACATGGTCGATATGGATGTCCATCTTTTACATGGTTGATATGGATGTCCATCTTTTGCACGGTCAATATGATTGTCCATCTTTTACATGGTTGATATGGATGTCCATCTTTTGCACGGTCAATATGATTGTCCATCTTTTACATGGTTGATATGGATGTTACATACTCTTGGTTTGTTTTTCAGATCTTGTATAAAAAGGCCCGCGGTATCTTGAACAAGCTGACTCCACAGAAGTTTCAAACTCTGGTCAAACAGATGTCTGAGCTGGAAATTGATACAGATGAGAGGCTGAAGGGAGTCACAGACCATGTCTTTGAAAAGGTAATATTTCACAAAGATTGCTATTGTCACTTCCTGATATAAATAAAATTGCTAAAGTGAAATTATTGGTGATGTGCTTACATTGAAACAGTCCAAAAGTAAACAACCATATAGTTTTCCCTGATTATTTAAATAAGATTTCAGTTGTATTCATGATTTGTATGTTGTACTTTCAGGCAGTCGGTGAACCTGGGTTCAGTGTAGCTTATGCAAGCATGTGCAGATATCTTGCAATGGTATGTATTACTGACGACACATGATGGATGACTAAATCAGAGGGGGAAAAATAATTAAAAAAATCTACTCTAAGTGGTTCGTTGACATCCTGAATATTGGATATAGTCATAGGGTAGGGTTGGGAGGAGGAGGTAGTGGAATAATTACAGAAATTTGTGACTAAGGTGAATTTTAAGCAATTTCTAACTATAATTAAATAGCAGTAAATAAATCCTTGTTTAATATTTTAAACACCGACGATTATCTTGTCTGACAAGATATGCTGTTTGGATAGCTGTCCCAGTTGTAACTGACAGTTATCTTGCCCAATCAAATATTTGTATGCTATTAAAAGATTCTAATTGTTTGTAAATGATGGAGTTATGAGGTCTATCAAAAATATATACAGTGGTATTCCGGGCCAACCAGCTAAAGAATGGATAGTATAATGTGATTTCAAGAAAGGAAATTTAGAAAGTTAGAAATATAAGCAACATTGATCATAAGTACACAGATGATGTTGATGTCATTTGTTTGTTATACACTTTTAGATCAAGGTACCATCCAAAACAAAGCAAGGGGAATCAGTCAATTTCCGTGCAATATTACTAACCAGATGTCAGAAGGAATTCGAGAAAGACAAAGACACAGAACTGGAAATGGAAAGGAGGCGGAAAGAAATCAAGGAGGCAAAGGTTTGTAATCTAGGAGTCGAGGAAAATGTTAATTTGGGAAGGTTAAGCTTCAGTAATGATTTCCTATGGACAAGTTTTTAAGTCGAGGAATTTCCTGAGGAACGGAACGATCACTAAGCCTTTCCGCCTTCTAGGGCTTCTTCAGGTGGATTGTTGTTTATTTATCACCGTTGGTTACATGACGTCGTCAATATTTGTATAGTCAACAATGCAGTAACGTCAATAAACAAGCATAGTGACGTCACAATACCAGGACAAAGAAAACATCTACATTGCAAAAATCATTGTGCATTCAAGCTGGGTATATATATATAAATGGATATGGGTCAAAGAAGTAATATAGACGGTAAAATCCCATATAACACTGGATCCTAATGGAGGTATGTCCGTAGGATACAAATTACTTATATAAATGGATAAATATACCGTTTGTTTATTTTTCTTGACATTTGAAAGTAAGTAAGTTCAGATGCTACAGTGATGCTTGTACACTTGCAGGAGGAAGACAAAGAACAGCTGAAGGCTGACCTAGAATTTGAAGAATCGAAAGCGAGGAGACGATCTTTAGGAAATATTAGGTATGCTATATTGTTATTGCATAAATAAGGATACTCCCATAACATGGTAGGCCGCTGGTCGACCTTTTTTCAATCGGATATGATTTTGCCGACTGCAACCTCTCATTTCCGAAGTACTAATTCTTTGATGCAGTTTCCGCCTGAAATCCGGGCGGAACAAAATCGGCTTGAAAAACTCACTTAAGTGGGTAACATTTCATGACAACGATGTATACTCACGGAATATATAATATAGATCTCATATGTAGGTCACAGACACAAATATATAGTATATTTCGGAATAGAACACTCAAAATACATGTCCATGTCGTTGTAGCACATCTCTGACCTACATTTAAAACATTGCTTCTGGATTAATACAAAATAGCAGGGGGGATTTCAAACGGAACGAAATGATACAGAGTTTTTTTGTATTCCACTTGTGAAACATTACATGTAATCCATTTTTGTATTAACCGGAAGAATCATGGCAAATGCTGTCTGCTTCGCTTCGAATGAGGAAAAACTCATTATTTATGTCTTTGATACGAAATTTTTCTCATGTAATCATGGATTTATGGAAAGGAATATTTATTGGACCCTTTTGACCATTTAAATGTATGTAAACACGATACACTCTTTCTTAATCCGAACTTTGAAAATGTGATCGTCAGCATCGGGAAAATCAGCTATGGGTAGTTAGAGGTTACGCGGCGCCTGTCAAAAGTTTTCGCCGTGTAAAACCTCTAACATCGTTGGAGTAAAATAAGGATAGCTCATTTCCACTAGAAAGTTTGTGTATTGCTAGAAAGATAACATAATAATGAAAAAGTTTTATACTGGGAGGAATTTCCCTCAGATTTTACATTGTTCATATGTAAGCTGTAACCCAAAGATGGTGTGTTTACTGATGTTCTTCTAGGATTTGTAGAAGTGATGTTTCAAAATTTTGATGCCTACCTTTATATAATACAATTTTTTATACAATTTTAACCAAATACAGTTTCAGACGTAGGTTTACAGACTTAAATACCTTATTTTGTTATAAGCTCTTGGTAGAAACGTATATATATAGTACTGTTTGGCCATACAAGACCATTTTCCAAGTTGCAATCTCCTTGTCATTTCAGATTTATTGGTGAATTGTTTAAATTAAAAATGTTAACCGAGAACATTATGCATGACTGTGTGTTCAAATTGCTCAAAGCCAAAGATCTTGAATCGCTGGAGTGCCTGTGTCGCCTTCTCACTACCATCGGAAAAGAATTGGATTCTGATAAAGCCAGGGTAACTATATATATTTCAAAACTTTCCAAAGAGGAGTTAACTAAAAGACTTTTTGAGATTGAAAATTGTCCATATTATTAAAATAACCAGAAAACAAAATTAAAATATCAAGAGCTGTCTGATATGAAGAAAAAAGAAGGATTTATTGAGATTTAAATAGTCTAGATTATGAATTTAGCCAGATCACACACTTATAAAGAGATGTAGGATTCCTAAGCGGTAATCTCGCAAGGATTCAGATTTGTGAATGTACAGAAATATGGAAAGAGAAAAATTGAAGATATCTAAATAAATGCTCTTGTTTTCAGCCACGGATGGAACAGTACTTCCAACAAATGGGAAAGATTGCCCAAGATAAGAAAACCTCCTCCCGAGTGAGATTCATGTTACAGGATGTGATAGAATTAAGAATGGTGAGTTGAAAAAACAATGTAGGAATGACAACAGTATTTTCAGCTTCAAAATTATGTATTTAAAAATATCATAATGGTCCATTTGAAATATCTTTCATAGCCAAGTAAATGACACTTTAAATACATTTTCATTGACAATATTGCTAATGGGGGCGGGGGTTAAAAAATGTATATTTGAAGTTATCCCTGTCCCAGTGCATAAGATGCCGACTCTTTCCTCGTTGCTGAGGCTGTCGTGTCAGTTGTTCATATTAAAGTGAGTCAGTGGGGCACTATAGGCAGGCATTGATTAGAAATAACGAGGACCTTAGGTTATTTCAACATTCAGCTTGAAAATTTAGAGTTTACTTTGCCATGAAGGACTGAATTCATAGAAAAAAAACATTAAAACTTTTGCGACACTATCAAATTAAAACCAAAATCAATAAGAAAAGAAATATTTGTTTTGCTCCCATTGTATGCATAGAACCTCTGTATTTTCTTTTCTCTCCTGCTACTTTCATTTCTTTGGTTTTGTCAGGCAACTCTGTTTAGGCATACTATAAATAATGTGACGGGGTGTAGTTTCCTGCTACGGTATTCAGGCTATAAAGTTATATCGAGTTGACACTTTTAAGTAGCCCTTGAGAGTCTTATCATCTGTAAACAGCTCTTTATATGTTCTTGGCTTTAAACTGAAAAACAAACACAAATATCCGATATTCTGCCACAGAAACCAAGGGGGGAAAAAATGCTGTAAAATATGATCCGTGATTGGTAGTGTTGTTTGGATTCCTAGCTTTATATCATAAAAATTTGTCTCCCTAGAATCGCTGGGTACCACGGAGAGATGAAAACAACCCCAAAACTCTGGACCAGATTCATAAAGAAGCTCAGAGGGAGGATCAGGAAAGACAACTCCTAGCTCAACAAGCTGTGGCCCAACAGAGGGAGCAGCGAGGTGGCGGCGGCGGCGGCAATAAAGGTTGGTTCAATTATAACAAAATTCACCCACTCGTCAGAATTTGCTTTGAAAGAATCTTTATTTTGCATATAGTTTCATTGACAGTATTGCTAATTGGGGAGGGGGGGGGGGGGGGGGAAAGGGTACATTTTGAATGAACACCAGCCAATGATGAAAAGTTATCCCTGTCCCAGTGCATAAGATGCCGACTCTTTCCTCGTTGCTGAGGCTGTGCTGTTCATATTAAAGTGAGTTGGTGGAAACATTTTAGGCAGGCATTGATTAGCATTCATCTTGAACTTTTTAAGTTTACTATGCTGATTGCAATTGGTCACCAAAGCATAAAAGCAGGAAGAATGACAATTGTGTGTTGCAGTCTTTGTAATCAGAGTACTCAGTAGTAGTGATTTATTAAACAAAAGTGGCCACAATGTGTTTTGGACATTTTATAATGTTTTTAATCAGAGAAATTTGAGACTTTTTGATGACTTAATTCACAGGAGGTGGTAGACGTGGTCCTGGTTCACAAGGCGGTCCCCCAGGTGGTGCTGATGGCTGGGCCACAGTTGGTGGAAGACAGCCACCCATCAGAATCAATGCAGAGCGCCAAACTATTGATCCTTCAAGGTTAAAACTCTCTCGACAAAATACGGATGAGAGTGTGCAGCTTGGTCCTGGTGGAGGTGCTGGGCGATTCGCTGGCTGGCAGAGAGGGAGCACAGGTGGAGGAGCTAGAGCATCACAGGAGGCAGAACGCTCGTCTAACGCACCAAGCAATAGGTAACACATATTTATTTCAAATGATGGATGCTGATCTCCTAAGTGCAATATTCCACCATGATATAGCTTCTGAAATATTCACTCCATATTCTTATTCTACTGTTGGTTAAAATAGCTATAGAGGTTATGTTTAATATTTTTAACTGCTTTGAATTGCATTTTGTAATAAAGTGTTTGACTGAAGCCAATGATGAAGAAAAGTTATCCCTGTCTCAGTGCATAAGATGCCGACACTTTCCTCGTTGCTGAGGCTTGTACAGTCACAATTGATAAACACCAAAAATTAGCAACAGAAGATGTCACGATCAAGATTAACCTGTTGTTGTTATTCAAAATGCTGTGCACCTTGAAAATGAATTAATTATAAACAAAAAAATGCAGCAGGTTATATATTTTTAAAGATAGAATTTTATATATAATTTTCATGACGAATTGGTTACTGTATATAATTTTCACGAAGAATGGTTACTATATATAATTTTCACGACGTATGGTTACCAGTACTTAACCTATGTGAGGAAATAGTTTTGCGACATTTGAAGTGCTACTTATCCTGGCAGCTAAGAATTGTTTGTGTCCAAATGTAACAAAATTGTAACACCTTTGGGCTTTAATTCTCTACTGGTTCATCAAGTTGCAATAGAACTACTATGATAGTATTGTTAAATAGTAGTGCTTGATGGGAGGAAAATGTACCACAGGGATTTACACTTCTTTATGACAATTTTAGTTTAGACTATACAATGTAACTCCAGTGCAGTTTAACTAAAACATCAAAGTAAATTATTATAATGTTCCCTGGTATATTTCTGACAGTAGCCAATGATGAAGAAAAGTTATCCCTGTCTCAGTGTAGAAGATGCCGACACTTTCCTCGTTGCTGAGGCTTTGTCAGTTAGTACTAATAAATACCAGGGAATTCCCATTGTTATTATTATGGTGAATACGCTGCTTAATTAATCAAGTTAAACTCAAAGTGAGGGGTAGCTAGAAATTCTGATATTTGAAACTTCATTGGGATCCTAAAATAGGAAGACATACATTTCCAAATGGACGTTAGCTTTCTGCTTGAGATATGAAAATGCTAATGTTTACATGCACTATTAATTCAATGCTAGCAGCATCCAGTACCTAAAATATTTTTGTAGTCCTTCAAGTAATCTGTTCATTTATCTCTTAAGACAACCCAGACACAAATATACTTCTTCATGCAACGGAGCATAGTAATCTTATGTAAAACACAATTAGATCAGATGTATGTTTCTGTAAATGTGTTTTTAATTTGTAAAACTAATGTCTTGATGAAAGCCAATGATGAAGAAAAGTTATCCCTGTCTCAGTGTATAAGCTGCCGACACTTTCCTCGTTGCTGAGGCTTCATCTATAGCGGATAAATACCAAGTATTGCTTGTTGATTTAAACAATTTGGGTAGACAAAATTCAACAAACTGTATGAGTGTGTTCTTGTCTTGTGGTGAGAACCACCTAAATCCTTGATGCATCTCTTTGATAAATTTTTGCTTGATCTTTTTTATGATAAACTGTATTCTAGCATTTTTTTACACCGTGTGATGAAAGCCAATGATGAAGAAAAGTTATCCCTGTCTCAGTGTATAAGCTGCCGACACTTTCCTCGTTGCTGAGGCTTGTACAGTCACAATTGATTAACACCAATGATTTTGCAACAGAAGATGTCACGATCAAGATTAACCTGTTGTAATTCAAAATGGTTACTATATACAATTTTCACAAAGAATGGTTACTATATTTAATTTTCACGACGAATGGTTACTATATATAATTTTCACGACGAATGGTTACTATATATAATTTTCAAGACGAATGGTTACTATATATAAGTTTCACGACGAATGGTTACTATATATAATTTTCACGACGAATGGTTACTATATATTACTTTCACGACGTATGGTTACCAGTACTTAACCTATGTGAGAAAATAGTTTTGCGACATTTGAAGTGCTACTTATTCTGGCAGCTAAGAATTGTTTGTGTCCAAATGTAACAAAATTGTAACACCTTTGGGCTTTAATTCTCTACTGGTTCATCAAGTTGCAATAGAACTACTATGATGGTAGTGCTTGATAGGAGGAAAATGTACCACAGGGATTTACACTTCTTTATGACAATTTTAGTTTAGACTATACAATGTAACTCCAGTGCAGTTTAACTAAAACATTAAAAGTAAATTTATATAATGTTCCCTGGTATATTTCTGACAGTAGCCAATGATGAAGAAAAGTTATCCCTGTCTCAGTGTATAAGATGCCGACACTTTCCTCGTTGCTGAGGCTTTGTCAGTTAGTATCAATAAATACCAGGGAATTCCCATTGTTATTATTATGGTGAATACGCTGCTTAATTAATCAAGTTAAACTCAAAGTGAGGGGTAGCTAGAAATTCTGGTATTTGAAACTTCATTGGGATCCTAAAATAGGAAGACATACATTTCCAAATGGACGTTAGCTTTCTGCTTGAGATATGAAAATGCTAATGTTTACATGCACTATTAATTCAATGCTAGCAGCATCCAGTACCTAAAATATTTTTGTAGTCCTTCAAGTAATCTGTTCATTTATCTCTTAAGACAACCCAGACACAAATATACTTCTTCATGCAACGGAGCATAGTAATCTTATGTAAAACACAATTAGATCAGATGTATGTTTCTGTAAATGTGTTTTTAATTTGTAAAACTAATGTCTTGATGAAAGCCAATGATGAAGAAAAGTTATCCCTGTCTCAGTGTATAAGCTGCCGACACTTTCCTCGTTGCTGAGGCTTCATCTATAGCGGATAAATACCAAGTATTGCTTGTTGATTTAAACAATTTGGGTAGACAAAATTCAACAAACTGTATAAGTGTGTTCTTGTCTTGTGGTGAGAACCACCTAAATCCTTGATGCATCTCTTTGATAAATTTTTGCTTGATCTTTTTTATGATAAACTGTATTCTAGCATTTTTTTACACCGTGTGATGAAAGCCAATGATGAAGAAAAGTTATCCCTGTCTCAGTGTATAAGCTGCCGACACTTTCCTCGTTGCTGAGGCTTGTACAGTCACAATTGATTAACACCAATGATTTTGCAACAGAAGATGTCACGATCAAGATTAACCTGTTGTAATTCAAAATGGTTACTATATACAATTTTCACAAAGAATGGTTACTATATTTAATTTTCACGACAAATGGTTACTATATATAATTTTCACGACGAATGGTTACTATATATTACTTTCACGACGAATGGTTACTATATCTAAGTTTCAAGACGAATGGTTACCAGTACTTAACCTATGTGAGGAAATAGTTTTGCGACATTTGGACTGCTACTTATCCTGGCAGCTAAGAATTGTTTGTGTCCAAATGTAACAAAATTGTAACACCTTTGGGCTTTAATTCTCTACTGGTTCATCAAATTGCAATAGAACTACTATGATAGTATTGTTAAATAGTAGTGCTTGATGGGAGGAAAATGTACCACAGGGATTTACACTTCTTTATGACAATTTTAGTTTAGACTATACAATGTAACTCCAGTGCAGTTTAACTAAAACATTAAAAGTAAATTTATATAATGTTCCCTGGTATATTTCTGACAGTAGCCAATGATGAAGAAAAGTTATCCCTGTCTCAGTGTATAAGATGCCGACACTTTCCTCGTTGCTGAGGCTTTGTCAGTTAGTATCAATAAATACCAGGGAATTCCCATTGTTATTATTATGGTGAATACGCTGCTTAATTAATCAAGTTAAACTCAAAAGTGAGGGGTAGGTAGAAATTCTGATATTTGAAACGTCTTTGTGATCCTAAAATAGGAAAGACTTGTATTTCCAAATGGACGTTAGCTTTCTGCTTGGGACTTTAAAAATGCTAATATTAATATGCACTATTAATTCAATGCTAGCAATATCCCGTACTTAAAATGTTTTTGTAGTCCTTCAAGTTATCTGTTCATTTATCTCTTTAAGACAACCCAAACACAACTATGCTACTTCATGCAACGGAGCGTAGTAGTCTTTTCATGTAAAACACAATTAGATCAGATGTATGTTTCTGTAATGTGTTTTTAATTTGTAAAACTAATGTCTTGATGAAAGCCAATGATGAAGAAAAGTTATCCCTGTCCAAGTGTATAAGCTGCCGACACTTTCCTCGTTGCTGAGGCTTCATCTGTAGTTGATAAATACTAAGTATTGCTTGTTGATTTAAACAATTTGGGTAGACAAAATTCAACAAACTGTCAGAGTGTCATGTCTTGTGGTGAGAACCATCCAAATCCTTGATGCATCTCTTTAATAAATATTTGCTTGATCTTTTTTGTAATAAACTGTATTCTAGTTTATCAACGTAAAACTAATGTCTTGCATTGATGAAAGCCAATGATGAAGAAAAGTTATCCCTGTCTCAGTGTATAAGCTGCCGACACTTTCCTCGTTGCTGAGGCTTGTACAGTCACAATTGATTAACACCAATAATTTTGCAACAGAAGATGTCACGATCAAGATTAACCTGTTGTAATTCAAAATGCTGTGCACCTAGAAAATGAATTAATTTAATTACCAACAAAGAAATGTAGCCAGTTATATATTTACAAAGAAAGTATTTTATATATAATTTTCATGACGTAATGGTTACTATATATAATTTTCACGAAGAATGGTTACTATATATAAGTTTCACGACGAATGGTTACTATATATATTACATTCACGACGAATGGTTACTATATATAATTTTCACGACGTATGGTTACTATATATATTACATTCACGACGAATGGTTACTATATATATTACATTCACGACGAATGGTTACTATATATTACTTTCACGACGAATGGTTACTATATATAATTTTCACAACGTATGGTTAACAGTACTCAACCTATGTGAGGAAATAGTTTTGCGACATTTGAAGTGCTACTTATCCTAGCAGCTAAGAATTGTTTGTGTCCAAATGTAACAAAATTGTAACACCTTTGGGCTTTAATTCTCTACTGGTTCATCAAGTTGCAATAGAACTACTATGATAGTATTGTTAAATTGTTGGGCTTGATGGGAGAAAAATGTACCACAGGGATTTACACTTCTTTAAGACAATTTAGACAAATTGCATTTTGTAATAAAGTGTTTGACTGAAGCCAATGATGAAGAAAAGTTATCCCTGTCCAAGTGTATAAGCTGCCGACACTTTCCTCGTTGCTGAGGCTTCAACAGTTATTGATAAATACCAAGTATGGCATTGTCTTGATAAAACTGCCAGAAATGTTCAAATTGACATATATATGATGATTTGAATGAGTAAGGTAGCAGGAAATTTAACTTCAATTTTACTATTTTCATAAAATCAACAGAAGCAGTGTTAAATATTATATAGGGAGGACCTAAATTGTCATATATTTTTTTCATATAACAGAATCATGAGTTGATAGTTAAATTTCTGTTTCATCTTTCTGAGTAAATTATTTCCAGGTATTTTTTTGTAAATCAAACATCTGACTATAGCTAGCCAATGATGATGATGAAGAAAAAAAGTTATCCAGGTCTTAGTGTATGAAATGCTGACTCTTCATTGCTGAGGCTTTGTCACCATTTTATCAATACCAAGAAACACAAATATTTCCAACAGGAGGTTTTAGTAGAAGTATTGGCTGCTCATCAGCTAATGGAGAAAACTTTGATTCAACTTAAGGCAGAGAGTTCCATTTTTGTCTTCTATCTCTCTCTAACTAAAAGGAGTATAATTTATTAGCTCACCTGGCCCGAAGGGCCAAGTGAGCTTATGGCATGGTGCGGCGTCCGGCGTCCGTCCGGCGGCCGTCCGGCGTCAACTTTTTACTTTAAACAACTTCCTCTCGGTAACCAAAAGGCCTAGGGTGATGATATTTGGCCAGAAGCAAGCTTTGATGAAGGGCTACCAAGTTTGTTCAAATAAATGACCTTCATCAATTTTCAAGGTCACAGGGGTCAAATATGTAAAAACCTTTAATCAACTTCTTCTGAATAACCAAGAGGCCTAGGATGATGATATTTGGCCAGTAACATGCTGGGATGAAGGGCTACCAGGTTTGTTCAAATAAATGACCTTGACTTATATTCAAGGTCACAGGGGTCAAATATGTTAAAAACCTTTCAACAACTTCTTCTGGACAACTGAGAGGCCTAGGGTGATATCATTTGGCCAGTAAAATGCTTGGATGAAGGGCTACCAAGTTTGTTCAAATAAATGGCCTTGATTTATATTCAAGGTCACAGGGGTCAAATATGTTTAAAACCTTTAAACAACTTCTTCTGAATAACCGATAGGCCTAGGGTGATGATATTTGGCCAGTTACATGCTTGGATGAAGGGCTACCAAGTTTGTTCAAATAAATGACCTTCATCCAATTTCAAGGTCACATGGGTCAAATATGTTAAAATATTTCTACAACTTCTAATGAATAACCAAGAGGCATAGGATGATGATATTTGGCCAGTAACATGCTTAGATGAAGGGCTACCAAGTTTGTTCAAATAAATGACGTTGACTTATATTCAAGGTCACAGAGGGCAAATTTGTTTAAAACATTTAAACAACTTCTTCTGAATAACCAATAGGCCTAGGGTGATGATATTTGTCTAGTAGCATGCTGGGATGAAGAGCCACAAAAGTTTGTTCAAATGAATGACCTTCATCTTTTTTCAAGGTCGCAGGGGTCAAATTTGTTTTTAACCTTTAAACAACTTCTTCTGAATAACCAAGTATAATGCCAGTAACATGCTGGAATGAAGGACTACCAAGTTTGTTCAAACGAATGACCTTGACATATATATTCAAGGTCACAGGGGTCAAATATGTTTAAAACCATTGAATGACTTCTTCTTAATTAGCAAAAGGCCAAGAATGATGATACTTGGCCATTAACATGCTGGAATGAAGGACTACCAAGTGAATGACCTTCACCCATATTCAAGGTCATAGTGGTCAACATATGTTTAAATCTTTTAATGTTTGTTCTATATAACCAAAAGGTCCAGGGTAATGATATTTTGCCAGATGCATGCTGTGCTGAAAGACTATAAACTCTGTTCAACCTAATGTCCATGTTCGACATTCAAGGTCACAGGCGTCATATGTTTAAATCCTTCAATAGGTTCTTATGAATCAAACACTGATATTCTGCCTGTAGCTGTATTTTAGTCCACTTTTAAGATTACAAGTGTGAGATTAATACCAGGTGAGCGATGCAGGTCCATTGGGCCTCTTGTTTAGTTTGTCAACTTCACAACTCTTGAGTTCTTGGACTGTTTATAATAACAAATACTTGGAAGCTTACTTCAGTGTAATGTATGATGGTGAGGATGGTGATGTTGGTGATGTTGGTGATGATGGTGATGTTGGTGAGGATGGGAAACTAGTAGGTGTAGTGTTTCAGTATTTGAATATGTTTATCAAAATATGCTGGGAAATTTTCACTGAATTACAATTTTGGTCTTACGCTCTCTGTAATGAGGGCAAGTTTCTCATTACAGCTTATATAAGTAAAACAACATTGACAAATACACAGTTATTAATGTGAACAGAAAGAATATCATTGGGCAAAGATGGTGTTAACAGCAAGGGGCGGAAGTTTGAATGAGCGTAAGGTGTAGGTATAGAGTAACGGTCAACAGATGTGGTGTGTGTCTAACTTGACCTGCACTGTACCTCTGAATTTACAGCCACAGCTGTCTTCAGAATTCGATCCTCATCCTTTGATTTTTTGTGTACTGCAGGTTTTCAGCACTCAGTCGATCGGAGGATGAGAGCCGAAGTCGCCTTGGTGTGAGTCCCAACAGAACAAGACAACAACAGCCTGGAGGCTTTGGTCGTCCTAACAGGGTAACGCCCCGATCATCACAAGAGCAGGAGAGGGAGAAGGCACTCGCTGCAGCCAGGTAACTTATCAAATCACGGCTAAATGGATATTTTTGTGGTAATGTGAAGAAACAGATTCAGCATTGCATGGGGTTTTCTTGTATTTTTTGTTTGTTTACACAAATGCAATATAACTGGCAGTTATGGTTATGCTTTTGTTGAGAATTTGATATGCTAGTATTGCTTCGGTCTATACAGAATTTTAAGATAAATAAACGATAAGCATCTTGTAATGATAACTAAATGTGCTGGGTGGAGGGGGGATCTACTTACACGTTACAGAAGCACTGCTCAGACCGGGTATCATTTGAATTGACTAAAGAAGGAAACATTTGTCACACAGGAGCATAATTGGTGGTCAAACCACCCCAAAAGAAGGTCCTAGCCGGGAGAGCAGTCGAAGCCGTGAGGTGCGCGAAGAGAAGAAGGAGCCGGCTCCTGTGGCAGCCCCAGCTCCGGCCCCAGTTAAGGAGCTGAACCAAGAACAGATGGAGAAGAAAACGATATCCATTGTGGACGAGTTTCTTCACATACAGGATATGAAGGTACATGTTTTGTCACAAAGTAATCTATAGTATTTCTATAAAAAAATCCTTTTAAAATTGTTTTATAATCCTGATAACATAATATTGTATTGTGTCAGTAATATCTTAAGAATAATTAAAACTTCAATGTTAATTATCAGGTTTAACCCTTTCACCACTGTAAGCCATAATGGACCCATCCGTATCAATGCATGGTAGAGTCTTACTAAAGTTTAACAGGGGTGAAAAGGTTAAAACATTGTATCATGAGTACACGTAGTTTTTATTAAGTTTTCAAAAGATATTGTTTTCTTACAGACACAAGATATTGTATTCTTACACACACAAGATATTGTATTCTGACAGACACTATAAAAATAAATATGAAGAAAGTGAACCCTTAGGCTGCTACGCACGACAATAGTCGTTTTGAAAAGTCGGGCAGTCAGTGCTACACACGACAATAGTCGTTTCTCGGTCTGTAGGCTTTGATCGGTAGCCAGGAAGTGTGAAGTCGGGTTGTTGCTATACCAAACCCGAATGCGTATAGTAGAAGGCTTCTGATTGGTTGTTTTGTCATTACTTTTGATATTCACTGCAGTAATTTTAAAATGATCTTCCTCTTGCTAAATCCGATAAATTTAAAGTTTCATATTTTCTTACCTTTATTACCACCTGTACAGGTAACATTTTCTTACCTTTATTACCACCTGTACAGGTAAATACTGAAGCAATTTTAGAATTGAAAACGTTAATATAAACTAGAGACAACAACATACAATTTTCATGTTACTTTTTTCACATAATATTTATAATAATGTTGTAATAAAATATAATATGTAATGTCATATGTATAATATAACAAATATTTTCCAAGTTACGCACATTTGAAAAAGCAAGTAAATTAATTTAAATTTCAATAATTAATTCGGCAGTGGTGTCCGTTTCCATAGAAATTAATGTAGCAGCCTAGGGGTTATAATGAAGCTAGATAGGATAACCAACAAAGCTGATGATGATGAAAGTTATCCCTGTCCAAGTGAAGAGATGCCGACACTTATAATATCTGAAGCTTGGTGTTACCCTAGGCAGTAGTACTGTAAATTATTTACTTTTCCAAACAATATTTTTACAATTTTAATCTTTTTACATTTATTTGTAGGTATGTTAATCACATATCACTCAATATATTTCGTTAGTAAACAGTTGTTAGCCTAATAACTTATAACGGATGATTGATGAGTAGGCATTGTAATGTACATTTCAAAGCTATATCTGTAGATGTTGTCATGATTTCGTTTTTGTTATTCAGGAAGCTGTGACGTGTGTAGAGGAATTAAATTCCCCTTCATCGCTACATTGGTTTGTGAGTACGGCCCTAAACCATGTACTAGAAAGGTCAGAGGTCGCTAGGCGCCAAACTGGACTTCTTCTCCATGACTTAGTCAAGAAGGGCTCTGTTTCAGTTAAAGCCTATATTAATGGGTAAATACTTAATAATACTTATCTTGATAAAAAATATACATGTAAAATTGACAGCTTTTGAATGAACAGTGAAATGAAACGACTTGTCCTACTGCACTGCACAGCACAAAAATGAGAATCTCGTTTCCTAAGATAAATAAATAAGTCATAGAAATTTTAACCTGTGGCTTACCTGTTCTCACCTAATAATGATGATGATCTATTTCTCCCTCCATTCCCAGAACTTATCCCCAGTAAATTCACATGTTCATGATTCTTCTGTCACCCCCTGGGATACGACAGATACCACATGAAAGGAAACAATGCTATGACATCATGGAAACAATCGGGCTAATATGTCGTATATGACATCACAGTCGGCTCTCGATGGGGAGAGGTCGTATGCAAATCAGGATAAATACAAAGATTACAAAAAGTCTTTGTTTTAAACATGGTATTGGAATGATGGGAGATAAATATTCATCCCCTACTGTGTGGGTTCTTTGTTTTAAACATAGTATTAACATAGTATTGGAATGATAGGAGATAAATATTCATCCCCTACCGTGTGGGTTCTTTGTTTTAAACATGATATTGGAATGATGGGAGATAAATATTCACCCCCTACTGTGTGGGTTCTTTGTTTTAAACATAGTATAGGAATGATTAGAGATAAATCCTCATCCCCTACCGTGTGGGGTCTTTGTTTTAAACATGGTATTGGAATGATCGGAGATAAATATTCATCCCCTACTGTGTGGGTTCTTTGTTTTAAACATAGTATTGGAATGATGGGTGATAAATCTTCATCCCCTACCGTGTGGGTTCTTTGTTTTAAACATAGTATTGGAATGATTAGAGATAAATCCTCATCCCCTACCGTGTGGGTTCTTTGTTTTAAACATGGTATTGGAATGATGGGAGAAAAATATTCATCCCCTACCGTGTGGGTTCTTTGTTTTAAACATGGTATTGGAATGATGGGAGATAAATATTTATCCCCTACTCTGTGGGTTCTTTGTTTTAAACATGGTATTGGAATGATGGGAGAAAAATATTCATCCCCTACCGTGTGGGTTCTTTGTTTTAAACATTGTATTGGAATGATGGGAGATAAATATTCATCCCCTACTGTGTGGGTTCTTTGTTTTAAACATGGTATTGGAATGATGGGAGATAAATATTCATCACCTACCATGTGGGTTCTTTGTTTTAAACATGGTATTGGAATGATGGGAGATAAATATTCGTCCCCTACCGTGTGGGTTCTTTGTTTTAAACATGGTATTGGAATGATGGGAGATAAATATTTATCCCCTACTCTGTGGGTTCTTTGTTTTAAACATGGTATTGGAATGATGGGAGATAAATATTCATCCCCTACCGTGTGGGTTCTTTGTTTTAAACATGGTATAGGAATGATGGGAGATAAATATTCATCCCCTACCGTGTGGGTTCTTTGTTTTAAACATGGTATTGGAATGATCGGAGATAAATATTTATCCCCTACCGTGTGGGTTCTTTGTTTTAAACATGGTATTGGAATGATGGGAGATAAATATTCATCCCCTACCGTGTGGGTGTAACAGATTAATCTCCAACCATCAGGATGATGATTTGGTTGTCAAAGCCTCGCCCTTCAAGTTTGAGATTTCACTGCAACACCTTCACGGTAGAAGAAGACTTATTAGTTTTGTTTTTAGCTGATGTAAGATCATGAAGTATAATTTGAAGTCGGTGAAGTTAAAAATACTAATTGGTAAAGTAAATTAATTTTGCTCTGTCACTTTATGTTAAAGGGAGTGTGTTTCTTAACCCTTTCACCACTGTGGACCATAATCAACTCATCCAGAGCAATGCCTGGTAGAGTTTACTAAAATTACATAGGGGTGAAAGGGTAAAGTTTTGCCCCCTTGGTTACTCAGTGCTTGAAGAGTTGCTGCAATTGATGACCGATACAACCTGTAATGTTGACAAGGTTCAATACAGACTACTAAGGGCCGTACCTGTAGCAATTGATGACCGATACAACATGTAATGTTGACAAAGTTCAATACAGACTTCTTAGGGCCGTACCTGTAACTAATTCCATTGCTCTTTTCACAGGCTACATGAAATCCTTCAGTATGCAGAGGATATGGAAATAGACATTCCAAAGATCTGGCAGTATTTTGGAGAGCTAATTGGACCCATGATTCAAGATGGCAGTGTTCCATTTAGTTTCCTTAAGGATGCCATAGAACCCCTAAAAGCTAGCCACAAAGCTTGTGTACTGATGTCGGCTATTCTACATGATGCCAGTACAAGAGAGGTAAGGTTTTAGTCACATCAAACCAAATCCTGGCTCCTTACTTACTTCAAAGTGTGAGGTATGGACATGTTCCTCCGTTCAGGGGTTAACATTCTTTGTCCATTGTTCAATGTTTAACTATGGGAGTACTTCCTTTTAGATAGATATGCTTTTATGTGTACTCGTTGTGATCCAAAGCCCGATTTCTTTTGTCTAAACTGAACTGACAGTGCTGATATCTACTTTCAGGGACACAAGAAGATTGCATCAATTTGGAAGAGCTCTGGTTTACAATGGAGCGACTTCATGCCAGCTGCAGAAGTGAAACCCTTCCTGAAAACCAATGTAAGTTCTTGTGTCAACTCTGTCAATACATGACCATTGTAGAACTAATGTCCCACAGCAAGTATTCTGTGGTTGCATTACTCATGTTTTTGTATCAAACTAAGCGAAACAATTGCAATTACTTGCATATTCTTACAAAATTTAAACAAGCTAATACTTAACTTCTTCTCCTTCTTCTTCTAATCTGACTTGTCCGGGCCATAACTTTTAAACCGTCAGAGATATCTTGATGAAACTTTAGGTATGCATGCATCACTCACAGAAGGTGTGCAGTTTCTTCTTCTTTCTTCTTTCTTCCTTCTTCCTTCTTCTTCTAATCGTGTGCAGTGCACTGGAATTAGGTCACTGTGACCTTAACCTCAAGGTCAACGGTCAAATAAGTGCAACATTTTAAGTAAATTACTGTCTGGCACGTACATTTTAAACCATTAAAGATATCTTAATCAAACTTCGAAGTATACCTGCATCACCCATAGAAGGTGTGCAGTGCACTGGAATTAGGTCTCCTGCTGCGTTATATACAGAGTAATGGCCCTTTGTTTCATTTTAATACCGAAGTGTGTCCGGAGTTTAAGTTCCATGTTATTATTTCATTTACGTTGAATAAACTTACCATAATTACGTATCTTGGGAAGTTGGAATTTCTCTCTCAAAAATCATGTTTAATGCCCCCACTATATACAGGGTTATGGCCCTTTATTTATTTTTAATCCCAAAGTTTGTCCTCGGCATAACTTCCATGTTATTTCACCTACGTTGGCAAAACTTGCTATAGTTTTAATGTATCTTGTGAAGTAGGACTATCGCATTCTAAATTCGGGTCTCGTGCCCCACTATATAAAGAGAAATGGCCCCTTGTTAATTTTTATACCGAAGTTCGTCTATTGGCTATAAGGGGAGACATGTTTTTATTCACAAAAACAAAATTCTAGTATGCATTCCATATTATATTGGTTGGTAATTCCAGTGTCACACTAAAATAATGAATGCATAGAATATGATGTACACTCTGTGAAATGCAAATGAATGTTCTCCAAAATAGGTACAGATACTGTTGATCATGGAACTGAGAGTGGGTCAATAGACTATGAAAATTGAGTATTATATATATGGCAGCATGATAACCAACTATCACAAAATGCAGAAATCTTTTTCTCTGATTACATATTAAAATCTGGAAAATTATGTTTCTCTTGAAAACAAATTCCAGTTTCTATTTGGGGCAAAAATATTGCTGTAAATAATGTCGGCCTTGCAATGCAAGATGACACAAAGCCATGCAATGTGATCGGATCAATTTACAGGATATTGAAATATGAATGAAATCGTATTCACTATTTCACTAGCCTGTTTCAATAATGCTGTGAATGAAATGTGGCACATCAAACATTGGAGCTTCTGATGTTTGTTTTAAAAGTTAAGTTGTGTGTTCTGAAGCTGATTTCTGCAATATTTATCAAAAAACAACTTGACAGAATTTTAAGATCGAAGAATTTTCTCGTGTTGCAGAATTTGGAATTCACCGAGCCAGATGGCAGCCAACCAAGCACACCCACTATAGCAATGCCCCTGGAGAGTATACAGGATAACCTGGACTTGCTCTTACAGGAGAAAAAGTCCACCAATGAGGATATCTTTGATTGGATTGAGGTCAGTTTGCAATGCTCTGCAATAATGGTAGGGATATCGGGTTATTGTATAAACTTCCATCAAAAAATCACATTTTTGGAAATTGACAGCGAGATACATTATTGTTATACATGAGATGTTATACTTGTACAGTATATAATTGGCATTGTGATGTGTTATAGGTATACAGTAAACAATTTGGCCTGGAGATATGTTATACTTATACATTATACAATTTTGAATTGTGAGATGTTATGCTTATACAGTATGCAATTTGTTATTTTGATACATGATACTTGAATACAACACCATTTTGCTTTGTGATATATATGTTATAGTTATACTTGTACAATTTAAACAAAAACAACAAATCTTTTTACTTTGTAAGAGCTTGTTTGTTGGCATATATTTTTAACAGAGATTCAACATTCTTTACCTTCATTTGAACTGGAAATCTGCAGCTTCCTTCATTTTGCATTTTTTGCTCAAAATCAATTAATTCATTGCATAGAACAGCTTTGACATTTAATAATATTTAAACGTTGACAGGAATCGTTGCAAGTACTTGTGTATATTTTTCCACACAGCTTCTCCCATATGAAAATGACTTTGAAATTGGAAACTAATTGTGAATGTACCTATTAAAACATGTAGGACAGATGTTCAGGGTATTTTACTTTCATTTACAGACAAATCTTGAGGACCTAATCACAAAATCAAAGCAGTTTATCCGTATACTGATGACAGCAGTGTGTTCATGTGCAATTACAGGTAAGGTCAAAATGTATTCTGTGTTCATTACTAAACAGTTTGGGTATTCATTCAGCTATGGTAGTCTAGCTGTTATATTCAGGCAACAATTCTTATATGAGAGGAATAGTTTTGTACCCAAAATTTCAAATTCCATACTCAGAATCTTGCATAAAAATTGGCTTAAGGTGTGATAAAGGAATTTGATGATAAAGCTTTAAAAATAATTTTATGAAGTGAAATACTGCAAACATGACGCCAATATTTTTAATTTTATCACTTAACATTGTTCATGAATTCAGCTTTAAACTATCATTAGAACAGCAATCATAACATTTATATGTAATGCCTTGAACTAATATTTGTTGTTAGGTCGTGGAAGCAGTGCACGAGTGGAGCCTCAGGACGTCATCAGCCGTGGTGTGTTATTACAGAAATACCTTGATCATCAGGCCGAGTTTGAGCTACAAGCACTCTACGCCCTGCAATCACTAGTCCACAAACTTGAGCATCCACCAGGTCAGTTCTCTCTAATCCTTTACCCAGAGAAACCTGCACTTCAGAAATGGGTTGATGGATTATAAACCTGCTTATATTGTGGAACTTAGTATTCAATTGCACTAAAACCACCGTTCACATTGACACATGTTTAATTGAACATTTTGAAAATTGTGTCTTTTATTTCTATATGACATCAAGATTATTAAATTTATTATTAAGAATCTGGGTGAAATTTAGAACTCTCCATGACTTATTGTATTAAAAATAATATAGGCGGGGGTAATCCTGGAGCGGTCATTGACCCCTCAAAACTGAAACTGACCCCTCCATGTTACAATTTTCTTTTAATTGAACATTGAACATAGAATGGCCCCTCTTATTTTTGAAAATGACTAAAAGTTGCTGAAATGGCCCACTGCTCTCAAATTCCATGATTTTCCCGGTAAAGGTTCTTGATGTAAAGAACTCTTGTGCATGTGTATTGATCTAGATAAAAAAAAAAGTAAAGCCATATAGTGAAAAAACCTTTTTCTTTAAAATATTCTTCATAGATTGAAATGCTTTGTATTACAGGTGTTCTACGAACATTGTTTGATACACTATATGATGAGGACATAATATCGGAGGATGCCTTCAACCAATGGGAGAAGAGTGAGGATCCCGCCGAGCAGGAGGGCAAGGGGGTGGCTATGCGCCAAGTTGTCCAGTTCTTCACGTGGCTACGAGAGGCTGAGGAAACGAGCGATAGCTGAGGATGGCTTCAATAGGCATTTAGTTAAACATTAATTACAGGGGGTTATTTATTTCTGATTTAGGGGAATAACTGCAAACTACAGAGAAAAAATTATTAGAAGTATGAACTATTTTGTACTTGGCCGAAAAATTGTGTGTATAAGAGTTCAACTGCTCACATATTTTTCTTTACTTATATATATATATTATGCAACAAGCTTGTGACTGGTGTGTTGCATAATAAATCCGTGAATGTGTGGATACGATAGAACTTCCTTTCAGTATGTCCGAGGCTTCGGTCAATAGGAACTACTGTCTTAATTCCGGATAATTTTTGTATTATATACCCTTTGGGATCACTGTATCTCGCATGTTCTTTTCTGCATATATGATGATAAAAAGCATTTGTTGCATGTTATGTGATTAATTGGGGAAAACTTGTTCTTCTATTGTTCAGAATATAGAGATTGTGAATGGAGCCAGGTTATTGTTCTGCTTATGTACGAATGCAAGAGTGATGTGGAGGTATGGTGTATGTGCCATCTGGCCAGTGTGTAAATGACAAAAGATTGTGATTAAAAAATTGGTGCAAATGGCTATTGTAATACAAATTATGTTTCCCATCATCATTGTGGTGGTTTTATTAACAAAAGACTATTTGATATGTTTCATCATGTTAATGTATTACATGATAAATAATAGTGTTCATGAATGAAATCTGGTATGTTTGGGCGGCTGTCATTGGATGATTTGAACATGAATGAATTTGAATGGATTTTCCCATTTGAGAGTAAACTTGTTTCCCCATCATTCAGTATTTAGCATTTATACTGGAAAGTTAACATGGAATCTTATAGGATAAAATTGATCTGCGTTTTTTCTTCTTCTTTTTTTCCCATTTTCATACACAATATCCTTACGGTATAAATCGTTATAAATGTCAAGACATTGACTTGACTTGGGGTGAAAAAAAGGAAAAAAATACCCTGTAAATATCTTGTGTCGGCCTTTTACCATTATGCATGAGGGCAGTGCATGTGTACTGTGTCCAATCTGTCACATGGTGCTACTAGGTGAGCTTATTGTGCTATTTCATAAATATGTAAAACCAGAGCCAAGAAAAGTAATCAGTTGTTCAACACTCAGTATAATGTATATCACAAGTTGTCCGCCCTTTGTTTTTAAGATTACTTGACATGCCTAAACAAAACCTGCTGTTAAATGAAAAGTGGGCTCTGTATACCATCATTGCATTTATCAATAGCACACAAATTCATATCATCTTAATTTATTGATGTCCTGTACTTGAATGTTTAAACTTGATTCGGTATAAATTGATATTACTGATTGTGATCATTGCGTAGGGACATAGAGTGAATAGACTGCATTTTACAATATTTCTCCCATTGCAATAAACAGGTTTCACAAATAATGACATGTACCCATAGATTATTTTATACATGATATGAAAGTGCGAATGTTGGCATACTTGTTTCTTTTCATTTTGTTTGTTATTGTGTGGTTGAGGATAGCAAGGATTTTGATTCAAAGTCACCGATTATATATATATTGAAAAAAAAAGATGCCATTTATTGAAAACAGTTGAACAACCTTATGAGCCTGTACTACCTTCATGCCTTAAATTTTTGTTCATACATGCTTGAAGCGTGGACATTGAAATTTTACAAGGAAATGGGGAAATTGTTGATCATAGCACTTAAAGTAAAGGGAATCAATGACACGGGAATGTTGGATAGGACAAACTCACTAAATTGGAAATTAATGGCAAATATTTTCAGAAAATATTTTGTCTTCTGGAATGAAGAGTTTTGAAGATATTTCTTGATGTTCTTAATTGCTTTATTCTCTGACAGTCTGTATGAGCATGTGACCTCTGTGCTGGGGACCCCCACCCTTGCAGTATGAGCAATGTGACCTATGTGCTGGGGACCCCCACCCTTGCATCCTGAACCCAATACTTGTTGAAGTGATATCATAATGAACCGCTACTACACAATCAAGGAGGTGGTTTTCACTACAGAAAAAAAAACACAGAAGGGGGGGTTGTAATGTAAATAAAAACTTGACGAAGAAATTTAATTGGAGTGTGTTATTGTTTGTCTTCCATTGGCTCAACATGGACCAAGTCTGTGACGACATTATTCTGATGCTGTTGGACATCCACAATTTAACTTGTGTGCAAAACAAGGGACATTAGCATGAATATTCGGTTTCTATATGAATTGATAACTGGTAAAACAAGAAAATCGATGAAACTTATCCCAGAAAAGGTCCCCGAGATTGACAGAAAGTGACTTCAATTATGATTTGGACCTTCGGCGTAAAGACCAAGTGTGGCACAGACGCATTGCCTTACTATTATAAAAGTATCTCCTATATTACATTGAGCCATCTTCAGCTATCCGAAGAATATGACCAAGACGATGTATTTGACTGTTGACCCGGGCAAAGCGTGACCATAACACTTGCCTTTTTTTCGGGGATCTTGAAAGGAATAACACTTATTTGGTAGAGGTAAAAGCCAGGTAGAAATCCTAACCCAGTATGAAGTGCGTTCCAACGCTTTCCTATTGGATTGCAGCTGTATCGACTATTTCTACGTAAAAAATGAATTGATTAAATGACCCAATCAGTAGTCCTGCTTAGATGGAGGTAGTAACTAACAGTGATGGCCTGTGACATTTGACACTGGATACGACCGATCCTCTTAAACCCTGCATTTTCGTATTGTTTCCAGGGTATATTTCTACAGCATGTACTTTTCATCCCAACGTGTTTGAGATCTCGTTAATGATGACAAAGATGAGAGTTTATTATCATATGAAAGAGCTACCACGGCACTGATTACTGTAACCGGCTACACTGAATAATAACAAAAGAATAGACAACAGTTTAATTTGCCGGGGGGGGGGGGGGGGGGCTGATTGTTCAAAGGGAGGTAACTAGTGACGTTTTATAACGTGTGGTCATGTATTGCGGTGCATAATTTAAGAACAGTTGACAAAACACTGCAGCTGTCTTCCATGTTTTTATTCCATTCTTAAAACACATCTGTTACCTCCCTTACATTATCTCCACATCACCCATTTGATACGGATGTGTGGAGAAATATGTGGGAAAGGTAACACAAATGTTATAATAACATACATTTGGTAAAAGCAGAAAGTTATCATATTTTAGAGTGTTATACAAGTGTATGGCTATAATCATGGAAACATTGACAATGTTTTACCATGAAAGTGAACCGGTATACTCGGAGAACCCCACTCTCAGACTGTGGGTGTACTGTGATGGAGATACACAAGGGATACTTTAGAGTATGGTTACTATACAATAATATGTCGTGATTTGAGTGGTAGCAAAAGGGTGTACATAGCCAAGACCATGTATATTGCTAATACACACTATAGTGTATCCAAGCAATCATCAGAATAGGTGCAAAGACAATGTCGATGTACTGGTATCATAAGAAACTTCTAAACACCCATTTGTAAAAATAACATCGGTTAATTAAATGCTAACACTTTGAAACGGCAAAATTGTCAAAAACCAGGTAATCATGATGGAGACTAAAGGAATGACCACTGAACAACATGGTACTCTATCAAAATTATTTGTTTTAATATGAGACTTAATTAAAAAAAACACCTGAATACAGTAACTACTGATCAGGGATAAAAGACTTGCAACCGTGAGTTCTCTAGAAAAAAACAATATAGACAAAGATGCCATTATCAAAACATGAGGATGTCAACCGAGCACCATTGACTATCACATGGGCATTTTGATTTATCGAGATTGTGGAATCAAGAATTATGAAACAAATGTAAAGGAGCAACACAATGTAATAGCTTATTGCAATGTTCATAGAGAGCAGCAGGCAGAAGATCACCACCTCAAATAGTATCAACATTAACCTATAGAATCAGAGAGGCGGTTTCTGCTGAACAAGCTGGGTATCCAAACAATTTGAATGAAGTCATAAACCATTCTGAGCTGGCTCCCCTACTATGTGTACAAGGTATCGCCGGCTCCCGTACTATGTGTACAAGGTATCGCGTCCATCTGTGCTAAAACACGTTTAAAACACGTTTAAATCTGTGCTAAAACACGTTTGATTTTTCGAACATTACTTTCACTCGAGGAACCGGATGTGAAAAGAGTTTCTGGGTCCAAGTGATCAGCATCACGGAAACGTATGGGTTTACTGGCCTGTCGTGCCGGGTGTATGGATGAAGGTAAGATTGGTTTCGGTTGTGAGATGTCTGTATTGGACTCGATATTAACACATCCATTCGGAGAATATATCTTAGTAGATCTATCAAACACATCCGATTGAGCAGGCTCTGATTCCGTTTTCTCCCACCTTTCACAGGTGTCTCCCGTTTTAGCCGGGATAGATCAGCTTTTCTCCCACCCTTCACAGGTGTCTCCCGTTTTAGCCGGGAAAGATAAGCTTTTATCCCACCTTTCACAGGTGTCTCCCATTTTAGCCGGGATAGATCAGCTTTTCTCCCACCCTTCACAGGTGTATCCTGTTTTAGCCGGGAAAGATCAGCTTTTCTCCCACCCTAGGGATTGGCTGAAGGAGGAGGATAATTTTATATACTTGTCTTCAAAACAATTCAGAACCTCGGCCCAAGACCGGTTTTGTAGACCATTAGACACAAACCATGTGCGGGCCGGCCCCTGGAGAAGTAGGTGAAACAGGACAACCCGTTTGTCCTCCCTACAAGACTCTCCCGCCAAAGAATATAGATGGACGATAGATTCAAACTCTTGAATAAATTTTGCTCCATTTTCACGAGACAGTCCGGAAAATCTCCTACACTTAGAGATATCCATGGTTGAATGTACGCTAAATGAGATCCCTGTAAATGACTTGAATGACGAAATGTAGTATCAGCGGATTTGGGTAAATGTTCAAGTAAATCGCAATGTTCTGACCCGGTCACATGATGTGCTTCTAAAAATGTTTGTGATAAAACATCAGCATCCGATTATAGTATGCTGCTTTCTAACGATTCAATCTATGTGGTATCGGACAAATCCGGAATGGTTTTCGACACATCACTCATGATCAAGCAGGTTAAAACAAGGTCGGGATCTATGTTGATCAATCTGTATGCCCGGATTCTTCACCATGTCATGTATTGCGGTGCATAATTTAAGAACAGTTGACAAAACGCTGCTGCTGTTTTCCATGTTTTTATTCCATTCTTAAAACATGTCCGATACCTCCCTTCCCACAGTAGTATCTCCACATAACCCATTTGTAATGCATTTAAACGACAGCGTGTTATAATCACGATTCGTTGATACGAGAGTATTGTAAAGCGATCCTAAAACAACTATGTAGTCAGTCTGCACCGTTCGAGTGAAAGGCTCAGCTAAAAAAACAAAGGATATTGAAGACATTGTACATTTATATGGCGAATAAATGAACGTAACCCACACGGGTGATTTCACCTTTAAATTTAGTAACCGATACAGAAAGCCAAAAACTGAAATACACTTATCACTCAGCTGTTTCGTCCTTCTAGGATCCGTCGGTGATGCTAAGACCAACAAGTTGAAATCCAGATTGTCTAAATTACTGTACAAACAGAGGGGCATGAGTTCATTATGAACAATGATTTTACTCATAAGAGAAAACTGTGGCCATCAATGTTACGTAGTATTTTATGAACCCTTTAAAGTGTACCCGGAATGATTTGCAATATTAAGTTTGAAAATACACCACTTCATAAAACAGAAAGTGGAGAAAGCGCGAACGCCAGAGCGACTTTTGTTTCAGAGAAATCACGATATTTCTTGAAATCTCACCTGTGGCCCTACAGCGATGACCCCGTTTCGGTGTACGGGGTCAACTCAACCCTATTAGATTTTACCAAAGAAGAGCGATATGTACCGTGATATATGCGGCCTGTCATGAGATTAACAAAGTTTCAATCTTCTTTTTATAGTGAGTATAGATGTTTAAAAACGACAAGTTTACACACTCATAGACGTTTATTTTAACGATGAAGTGTTGTGGAAGGAGCTCGTAACGAGATAGTGTCTCATTTCCACGCTTTTCCCTTGAACTTGTCAGTGTTTGGAAACAATGCGTACAGTTTGTTGAAAGTGGGAAAGACCTACGAAATGTTCCTATTGTGTTCAAAACACTATTTGAGGGCAGCTCATATTCTATAAAAAAGGAATTAAGTCGTTCCGGCCTCTCCCGGTCCAACATCCTACTCGTTCACTCCGACCCCTAAAAAAATGTGATGGTTGTTTTCTTCAACGACATACATAGATCTACTGGAACATATATAGTTTGAATATGTTTTTGATGTAATACAAATGAACTACGCCTTTCATTTATCAAGGACCTTTATGTAATATTAGCTGAGAGCCATGAAATACCACAGACTTGTTTATATCTGATATTATGTTCGTGGAAGTATGAAAAGTAATCTTTTCATCAAACGCCTTTGAAATATCGTACTCGGGGAAGGGGGGGGGGGGGGGNGTCAGCAGAAACATTTACAAAGGGTTATTGATTCATATCTATACATGTATGTGTTATTCAGTGTCTTGACCTTGTTCTTTTTAAATCGTTTACGAGACAGCTTAATATAACACTAATTAACAGATTAAACATGGCTGACGTGCAACTAACAGTGATAAATAACGGCACTTAAAACCAATTTTAAAACTTACAATAGCAGGATAATTGTCTATCAGTTACACTATGATATTTTTGTTATTGATGTACGATTAGTTTAACAGATAAACCCCACCCCGTATAAGGCGAACCGTGACTGACACGTGTATCTAAACCGCTTATCTGTTGTAAATCTAATGTCAAGTATACATGGCATTCTATATGAATTTAAGCTACAATTGTAAAACTTTTTATTACTTTCATTTTGATCATCTTCACCATAATCCAATTCCTCAAAATCCGTTTTCAATTCGCAATCTGAACCCGTTCTACCATACTGGCTGCCGGTGGTTGAACTAGTGACATCACAGCCAGAAAAGTACGCTGATTAGCAGTATTTCGACAGGTGCAAATTGCGCACTTCGGGGAT